AGCTATGGATTCAGATGCAGGACGGTAGTTTACCAACATCTTCATGTCTTTAGGATCAAACATATTCTATGAGGCATATCCATTATCATAGTATGAAGCATTCATTATAGGCATTAATCATTAGTGATTGCATGGAGCAGTTTTCTGAAAGCCGTGACATAAATAAGACGTGGACAATTGGTCAACAACTTGAGGAGTCACCTCTAAATGGTTTTCCTACATATTAGGAATTGATCGAAACTTTATTCAAGTGAGCATCAATTTTGAGCTACAAAATACGATAGTCAACCCACTTCTAGAGTGTCCTGGACCTGTTTCAGCCTTACAACTAAACATATTACAGGTTGTGTTTCTCTCCAATATGATGAAAAAATTTGAGAAAAACTTCGAATGTGCAAAACCTAGTTTTCAAATGTTTAAACATGATTGCAAGCATTCCTTTCTAAAAACATATGTGAAAACTTCTCGAGATTCTCTCCAAGTGTATCAGAAATAATTCCCTAAATTGGTTCACCAAAAGCATCATGCAAAATGAACTCTAAAGCAACATTTTCTGTCACATTTTTAAGTATCGGATTATTGATTAGCATGGATAGTTGCACCTACAATTTCAGCTGTAAGATCTCATGTGATGACACCATATTATGCATGCTGCATGCATGGAGAAAAACAAATGTGCTTCCAATAACTAGTTGGAAATCTTATTATGAGTGCAACAAGAAAGATAAAAAACAACTACGAACATACCTGAGAAGCTTGTACAACAGTTAAGACGGCCACACCAGAGAAGAGGAAAAAATCAGAAATGACAAATGATATAGCACCAAGATGCTGACTACCAGCATGGTTCAACCATGCTCCAAAAGATGAAGGAGCCATTGGATCAGTCAAAACTCCTGCATTGTTAACAGATTTCAGCAAATGAAGCCATCATAACAAAAAGGAGGATATACAATAAGTGACTTATTATTGGGTTAACAATGTTGACATTTTTGACTTTTTTTTATACTTCCAAAAACTTACTTGTAAGAGCCACTGCACCAGTTACTATCATTGCAAAAACTTCTAGAACAAGAAACAAAAAGAAATCCCATTTGTTCTTCTGTATCAGAAAGACGCAAAAGAATCAGTCAAAAAAAAAAAAAAAGTGAAAGCAAAATACAACACATACAGACTGGGAAAAAAAATCAACAACAATTATAAGAAAAGCAGCAAATTCAGTACATGATTATGAAACCCTATCTTACTATACATAGATAAACAAGTTGGGAAAGAGCATTAAATCACTAAGCAGAAATATCTCGCTATATATCTACTGAAGGAGCCGATACTCACTGATGAACAATATCCTCACTTGATTCTCTCTCCAGAAATATACACACAAATTCATGTATATTTGGATTGATCTTTGCACATATGTATGAAAAAAAATGTTCATTTTGAAGCAATTCTGCATGTGAATATGAAAGTTGCAGGCAAAGCAATAAAAGGATGCCTAAGATCATTTGATCTGGCCATATACTCCTTGTTGCCCACATGGCAATATTCTGATTTTACTATCCCTTTAGGATTCAAGTGATAAGTGAAAAATCAAGTAAGGCATTCATCAGTGTCAACAGACCTTGCCAATGCAATTAGATACCCAAGGGCAATGATGATCAAACTGTTCAACACAACGATCACAGGTCGAACAATGCTTTGCACGAACGGGTCGGACAATCTAACAAAAATCAAATCAAATAACATTAGAAAGCAAGCAATACAAAAATGTGTTGAATTAGTAGTACATAGAGGTTAAAGTATCAAGAGAACACAGCACCTTGCATGTCGCGCAGAGCTGAGACCAATTACCAGCAAGCAAGGCAGGATTATTTATCTCAATCTTCAACAAAGGTTCCTGGTAAAAAAATAATAAAGTAAAAACTTTTAAAAACATTTGAAACGTATGTGTCTGAGTATATAAAAGCACCCCTATAACCCACTTAAAAAGAGTATAAAGTATGACAAACGACGATGAAGGAAAAAGGCAAGATTCTTTGAGGAACAAAAAAACCAAACCATAAATATAATTTTAGGCAAGAATAAGCAATTGCAGGAAATAAGTTATATAAAACAGCAAAAACTTACATCATCTTTCATATTTTGTGGATCATGCACATTCATTCTGATGTAACCTGGATCTTTGCTACAAACAAAAATGTCAAGCAAAACTCTAATCAGACAATTCACACAAGCTCGGTGTACAAGAAATAAGCAAGTAAAAGTCCTTCTATGATCGCTGTCACACTGTTGTCAAGTAAGTTTTTTTACATATCTGCCTTTAAGAGAAATTAGTCAAGCAACACAACGATGCAATCTGCAAGCACACACCATTCATTTCAGAAAAGTATATCTTCTAAATAGCATAGTTTGGGTCCTTCTGAAAAAAACAAAACAAAAATTACAGTTGACTCTACACAAAGCTAACTGCTAGTGTTCAGAGTGAAGTGCTTTATTGGGAGAAAAAAAAAATAGATTGCCAGGTGACAACTCAAATGGAAGCATAAGAGGAGACAAAAGAAAACAAGGTTGTGTGGGCAGAAAAACCACGAGAGCTTGCGTGAAAAGTAACAGATTTCAACTAGGGTTCTTTTTTCCCAGTAAGTGTCCAGCTACCAGAGTTGGGCAACATATTTACACTATCTTTCTTGAGATGGGACCAACTAGAAAATACCACCTAATTGTCCACATAAGTTGGGTGACAGCAGGAAACAGTAAACACCAGACAATAAAGTTCAACAAAAATGAGAACTGATCAACAAAAAAAATGAAAAAACAACCAAAAATGAGACAGCATATCTCAATAATATGAATGACAATAAACCACTATTGGCATTAGAACCACCAAAACCAAGGTCACATATCTTTAAGAAATTAAGCAAGTCCTATGTAGTTGTCAAAAAAAATCATCTCCTTGACATATTAGGGCAGCTCAGTGAACAAGTCTCCCACCAGTGTAGGATCTCCTTGACATATTGAGAATCCAAAATTTCAATACACAACTAAATACATAAAGGCAACGCAATTATTTTAGTAACGAGAAATCTTTTAACCATGCTTATTTTGGACTCCTGACTGCAACATAATAATATAATACAAAATATCCATATTGGAATACTCTTCTAGATACTATTCTCATCGAATACTCGAGGATACTATTGAATACGCACCATACATACCTAATAATTAACGAAATAACTTTGTTTCAGTATCTCTCTTGGATATGGATATCCATGATGAATATGCTTTGAATATGGAAGAGGAAAAGCTAAGCAACCAATTTTAGTTTTAATCTTTACCTTTTCCACTTGAATTCACATCCAATGATATACACACTGAAAAAAAAAATTCTATAAGCCTTTAAAGATATGTGGGTGTTTATTAAGAATTCTCTACTACCACATATTAAAATAACTTAAAAGGGTTAACTACACCCGATCTCTTGGCAACAAGTACTTCTATACAAACCATTGAGTGAAATGTCAATCTTGATTCCTTTAGTTAGCCACAATCAATTATATGACCATAATGAGATGATCTATGCTTCTTTAAAAGTAAAAGTTACGTATTTTTTGTATTATTACTATAAGCATTTACTGAAAATCACAATTATCAAATAGTCAAATAATATTACAAAATAATTATATTATTATAGTCATAACTTGATGGTATCTGCATTCTATTATTTTCAGTTTTGCAGTAGCCTTGTGTCCATATTGTACCTTACCCGTATTTTATATCTATATCCGTGTTTTGTAGGCTACAAACAAAAACCACAAATGCATGCAATTAGTCACAAACCATACACATTGGCTAACCCCGGATTTTCAAAGGTCAGGAGGGACTCAAGATGTACAGATTTTTGCCCACCCACTTTGTTCAACCACTAAAGTAGTTTTCGCCTTCGAAACAGAAAAAAATTACATTGCTTACCAACTTAAGCCCGCCTAAAAATAAACAGTATTATCATGTTATATTACAAGTTTGTAAGTTCATTATTCAACTTCATAAAGAAGTAAACTTTTAGCAATAATCAGATCCAGCACAAAATGTCATAGCCATGTCGTCATTCATGGTACCACCACTTAAAGGATTAAAAATCAATGTCGATAACCAACTTTGGTGGATTATTGCAGTGATACTAAAATTCAAGCATATAAAAAGGTTATCCTAAGTCCAATAGGCAAAGGTCTGCAGAGCATACCAGCTACACCTATAAAACATAGCCAATCCAGAAGTTGCTAGGAGAACACCCAACCATGCAAAAAGGCCAAAGCCAGCAGTTAACTTTGGCAGATTCGGAGCTGCAGCCAAAGAGAAAACATACAATTTCAAGTATGAAGCCTTGCCCTAGAAAAAGCTTAATTTAAGATTGAATGCAAAGATAAGGGCAGATACCCATGATGACTGAATGAATGTATGTCACAAGTAGCAGAAAAATTATAAACCAAAGTATTGGTGCAAGTCCTAATTTTGAAAGTTGCCCAAGGCGACTGTTCCCATCACAACGTTTGTCAAGCAACCTCCGTGCATTTCCCTGCAGAATCAGATTTGTCAAATATAAAAAACACATAAAACATTAAGGATGATGGGTCCAAGCAAATTCTACAACCACCAGAACGATTAAAATTTCAAAAAAAAAAATGAATAGAAATATGACAAGCAAAATTATGCCATCAAAAGTAGGAAGTATTATAACAAAATGAATTCCTGCAAACAACATAACTTAATAACCAATCTTAAAAAAAAAACATAGGTACCAAAAGTATTGAATCCAAAGCATACACATATTAACAAGAAAAGTAGATCAATCATGACTCACTAATCCACCAATTGTTAGATCAGTGACAAAGACAACTGGATGATCCTCATGCAGGAAGACTCAGAAATTTCCCACAGGGAATCCCAAGGACATTATGAAAGTCCTTCATATATCCACGTGTAGTCACTAAAATGTTCAAAATGCATAACAATAATATTATTGTATCTGGTGATGGCTAGAAGAAACGCTGCAACTTTCCACTAAGAATATTATTCACAGAAAAACAAAGGAAGGTTATGAAATCTATATATCCTAAACTGAACTCAAATATATACAGAATACCACGGTATTGAAGGCCAAATGTTCATCTATCTGCATAAGATTAACATGTGTACTTGCAAATTCAATAATATCAATACATAAAATGCCTAACCAATTGGTCACCGCTGTACAGAGAAGTGACTTAAGAGCACCAACACCACAAGATAGCAACACACCCAATCCCTAAATTGTTGGGAGGACAACAAATTACAATCATCTGTAGAATGAATGCAAGACAACCTCCTAAAACATAGGAAAGCAAAAACACAGTAAGTAGAGGAACTTTCGCAATGTACAATGAAATCCGGATCTTACATTGGCATGTGCAATTTTCACAGAATTACCAATTGTTACAATGATGCTAGTTGCACTTAATTTGAGGACCAAGTACACTAGATAAATTGTGAATTTTGTTTAAAGTTAGTATTCATTATTAATTCAATGATTAAAATATATTGAGTATTTAAATTATATTGTAAAATTTTAATTATATATCATTGTTTATTTTATTTTGGAGCCCCAAATTTTTCTTCCAAATTGGGGGCCTAGGCAATGGCCTAAGTGGCCTAAAGGTTGGGCTGGCACTGATTAACAAAAGCATCAGAAAAAGTGGTGTTAAACAAGTATTTTTACAGTACACTAGTGTGTCATTATTGGTAGCTTGACCCGAATTGATACGAAATACCTCCCATCCTAGCACATGAACATTGTGAGCCTCTCCACTTATTGCCGATTGTTTTAAGTTGAATGCTTTACCATAGTATCAAAGTTAAGCTTGAGAAGTACTTGGGCAAGACACAATCTCATCAATTTAGTAATTGCTTCATTCTTTGTTCATGCCATAGTTGCACTTCTCATGCCTTTGAATTTGTCATGTAAATGTTCTGTTTATCTCTCCACATGCATGTGGGGATCACACGTGGGAGGAGTGCAAGAGATTCTCCCGCATGTATAAAAAAAACCCTTCCCAACCAACTAGTATATGAGCCTTTTAGATCTCTCCACTCATTGTCAATTGGTTTTAAGTCACTCACTTCAACAAATATGATATTTCCATTCATTCTATGTCACATATTAAAACAAGGCCAAAAAAACTTTGCTTAGTAAGAAATTTGAAGTTCTATAAGAGGGTAACCTCATGCTAAAAGCGTGACTAAAATACTTCCACAAGCAAGACAGATACTTAGAAGTAATAAGGTATACATACAAGGAAAAAAGCAACTTGTCTGTGATTTTTATCCGAAGCAAGCTGTGCTGGTGTAAGGCCAGTGTTGTCAGTCACCATCAGATCTTCTTTCTTCCCAGCCTGCACCAACACTGTGCATGCTTCTAAGTTCCCCCGAATAGCAGCCCAATGGAGAGGGGTACAACCTAAAATATATAAGGGAAGCAATTGAAAAAGATATTTTTTATCAGCCAAGGTAGTCCTTTAAATAAGTGTCAGCTGCTTCTATTAAGTGCAACCATGTAAAATTTCAAAACAGCCAGAGAAACTTTAAGACAAAGCATGAAAGTGTACCCTCTTTGTCCTGGCGCCCCCTATATGCGTCCAAAAACAGAAGAAGGCGTATACTATCGGCGAAACCCTTATATGCAGCCCTACAGTTCCCCAAAGGTAAACCCACCATTACTTCAAACACTAAACAAAGAAACACGTAAGAACAACTCTTTTTTCAACAATGATAATAATTGTAACCAGGAGTGCGCTTTACATGTTATGAATGTGCACACAACCAAAAAATTGTTGTGCACATGCACATAATAACATTACGGAAAGCAAAAAGCAAAATAAGGTCACCAGTTTAAAAATTTATCATCAAGAAGTACAGAAACAGATTTTTTCTATAGACGAAATGTTTCATCTAAAGCTGCAATATATGTATTGCATTTCAAACACTTGAATATTTGACATCTTTACTAGTCAGGTAGTCGGATTTAGAGGGGATTTTGGTAAAGCTAAAGTTTTTATTGTATAATGTCTAAAATATTGCACAACGGAACATAAAAGATTAAATGAAGCATGAAACATTATGGCATAAACACTTTTAATCTTTACATTTTTTAAAGTAGATTAACCATCTTCTGACGATACATGATTAACACTTTGCAATAGGTTTAAAAAAAAGGTAAAATATGAAACAGCAGCTTCGCAAATGTTGTGATTAGTTCCAGCAGTCCATATCTCTTTGATTGTCAAATACTATTCATCAAAAGACCAGCTTTAGAAGAAAAAAGAGATCTCATAAATCACAGAATTTGAAACATTGATTTCAGCACCAATGACTGGTTGTTAAATCAATTCTTAATGCTCAATTGTCTATGAAAACAAGAAAACCAAAAATTTCAGACAAAGATAATAAATAAATCTAAATAATACTCTTGTCAACATGAATATTTTGTCCACCTTACGTACAGATACATCTAAAACATTTTTTTTTTTGATAGGTGATACATCTAAAACATTATTCTGACGAAGACCACTAAAATTGTAATTCTTGATAAAAGCCTTGGGAAACAAAAGCATGGTTAGATTTTTCATATACCAGTGTAAAGGACTTCTTCCATCATTATCAGGAACATCAGGGTCACCGTTCCATTTTGTAACAACGTGGTAAAGGAAAGATGTCTGACCATATTGCGCTGCAACATGTGTTGCCTGCAAGTCAATTTGATAATACAATTAGAATTAGAGCTTGCTACAATATAACCAGTGTGTCTATCAACACAAAGTCATCAGAGTAAGGACATATAATTAATATGGAAAAAAAAAAAAAAGAAGAAAGAGAATTGGGGGGAGGGGGAGGCAGAGCAATTCACATAAAGAAAGAAGGAAAGAAAGGATAAAATAATGATCAGCCTACTTGCTCTTCATGCTCCAGGCAAAGTTTTCCTGCACCTCATTCAGTTTAATAGTAAGATAATGTCAAGTTAAATACAGACCGGTGACTGGTCTCAAATGGACTCTAACTCAACAGAACAACATATGTGCACAGCATCAGATCGCCCATCCCCAGTGTATAGTTCATTATTAACTGGGCTGTTTTAGCTTGCTTTTATCAAGTAGTTTTCAAGTTACGATATGGATCTTGGGATATACTTATATATATTAGTCAATGCACACCTACACAAATCATTTTGAGCTACAAATTAGGTTTTTAATTTTTATATCTTATTCATATTATCTCTACACTGATGGTTCGCATGTATCTATATTACTAATATATCTTGTCTAACTAATTTAAATCACTAGTTCATGTTTCCTAACAAATAGGATAACACTTCTTGATATTAATTTCTTTACCATACCTTACAGGAATGGAATTGTTAATTTTTGGGTGATAAACACAACCATGCATGTGAGTCACTTGTGTAAATTTAGAGGAAGTAGGAGGGCCTTAATTTGTGTTATAATAGAATATTAAGTGGATTTTGAATATTGATCAGCGATAAAATAGAAAATAAAAAATTTTCACATCAGCTGACCTTTATAAGTGATATGGATAGATGCATATGTGAATCTCAGCATATAACTTAATAATGGGGGATTGCAAGACTTAGCTTAAAGGTGAAAACTACGTAGAAAGACACCATTAACTGTCCTTTTTTCTGCTGAAAAGAAGCATTAAAAGTTAGGGGTACCTGTGATAAAAAGAATTCGGGCCTATTAATGGGCACATATCCAATTAATGTTCATAATTCCAGCTCAAATGCAGCATATTAAGATTGATGCAAGAAGCATTGCTCAAAGAACTGTTATCATATCTTTTGGACCTATTTCAATCCCAAAAAACTCTCTTCAATTGCTACAAAATGCTGTTCAAAAAAAATTACTACAAAATGGTTCAGAAGAAAGAATGAGCAAAAGATAAACAAACCTGATACCCATATATGTCCGCAGCATTCACCCGAGCACCCTCTCGGAGCAAAAGCTCTGCAACCTGGATTGCACCCCGCACTGCACTCCAATGTAATGCTGTTTGCCCGGTATGATCAGCAGCATTCACATCTCCCCCATGCTGCCATATATGAGACCCAAAAAAATATAAGTTCATACGAATATACCTCTACTTAAACCCCATCTCTTTGAAATACAAAAACAACAAAAAATCAATAAGCAATTTTCAACTTACAAATAAACAAAAAATCTCACCAATGTTTCCTGAAGTAAATACGACAAAACATATACCTATTCAATTCAACTGTTAGCGATGACAAGTGAACCCTTAAACCCATGCCACCCCTAATGCAACTCGAACCATCATACCTACTGCCTACTAGCCCCACCTTTTCACTAGTCCAAGGTACCAATTAATTCAACTGCAACTTTTGAGAGTGACAAGAAAAAAGGGAGTGTAATTAGAATCTTGACATACACAAGCACAAACCCAATTTTGAGAGAGAGACAGAGAGATAAACTTGATAAATGTCCGTTTTTGTGGTGCTTCTAAGAACGTCATTAGGGAGCGAAAGTAAGGCTCAAACTTTGATCCTGGCCAGCAAAAGGGTGACTTCATCTGAGGGCTCACAATTTATCTCCAAATTTTCCCCAAGTTCAAATTCCCACCATACTCTTTCACTTCCCCCAAAAAAATTGTCTCCCACTCTTTCCCATCTTTGAATTTTCTCTCTCCCCCTTCACCTACCACACACATACACACACCTCTTTCTCTCTATCTATCTCTCTCACTCTCTCTCTCTCTTTCTCTCTCTCATACAGTCTACCACTATGGAACAACGCCACCACCACATCCCTTGCACCCCCTCATCTTCCTCAACCCATCATTGCTTTGGATCTCAGGAATTTCTCTCCCTCACTCACTGCTCTACAACACACATTCACATAGTATTTTCCTTCTTCTCAGTAACACACGCATAACAACCACAACACCACGATCTTCTCAGCGAGCAAATCAAGCCTTCGCCTTGGTATCCCTCCCTCTCTCAGCGTCAATCTCTCCTCCCTCTTTCTGTCTTCAACAACACACACAAACAACACATGCACTCAGAACACACACAACCACACCCAACAAAACCCTTTCTCTCTTCCTTTTTTCTCTTCTGCAACCCTCCTCACACCCAAAATCCCTTACAACACACACACTACCCATACACAAAACAGACGACACATACACCCACACACCAATCTCTGCAAATACACAGTACACCCACACCCACACTTACACTAGCTTCTATTTTTAGGAAATTTTTTGGCAATTTTTTTTTAAATAATAATGGGCCTAGATTAATTGGTGAGTTTTCTCATTTTAATTGACTTTTTTTATGTTACATTGGTTATATTTTTAATATAGATTGTTTGATTATGCTCACATAATTGAGTTTGCTATTTTTTTGTTTGATTATGCTCACAGATTTGTTTAATTTCTACCTTGTTGGGCCTGCACGCAAGATATTTAAGAAAAAATGCTTAATAAAAACATGGCTTCTTGGTTTTTGTATAGTCCTTTTTCTTTTTAGTTTCTTGGTTTTAGTTGTCCGTGGGTGTTGGGATGAATTTATGTTTCTTTTGGATGGGTTTTGATTCATTTTTTGGATAGGTTTGCTCTGGGCAACTATTTCTATGGTCAAATTGCATCCCAAGCTATGGGTTATTTTCATTAATGGAAACTGGTTGTAGAGAAATCTTTAGGTCCAGGGCATGGCAAGAGCTAGCAAAACATCCAGTTTGAGAGGTATGTGTGTTGGGTTTGTCATGGTGATTAATGGCTATGTCTCTATCATGTTGGTTAATGACTATGGGTACAAATACATTGATTTTGGCTGATCTTATGGTGTGTTTGTTGATTGATAAAAATTAGTTGGATTTTGGTAGTTTTAGGGTATATGATGAATTGGGTTCGTGACAAGAGTTATTTTTTAAGTTGATGTTGGATTCTATCTATTTGAATTGAAGTCTTTTAATTGGTTTTATAATTTTAAAATCAGAAATTTGCTCTGAAAAGTATGATTTTGTCTTCACCCTTCCGCCCCCCCCCCCACCCCCACCCCCCGGTGCAGTGATTGATTGTTTTTATTCATATTTATACCAAGTTGGTCCTATTTTCCTTATACCATCGGCTTCCGGTGAATTAGGGTCTACTTTTTGCTTATTAATGGATCGAATCACTTTGAAATTATTTTCTTAAGTTTGGAATTTCTTTTATAGTATGTTTGTTAATGCCTTAGCATCGACCATAGAAATTTTGGTCATTTGTTTGGTGATTTGATGATTCCATTTTCCAGCACCCAGTTTTTATAGTCTACTCTAAGCTAATTTTGAGATATATGTTTGTAATATGTGCATAATGCAATATATCTTTTAAACTCTATAGGAAGCATGACAAGTGTTCATTGGTAGAGTAACAAGTGTGTGAGTAAAGACTACACAGCTTATTATTCCTATTTGTTAACAAAATACACACTGTGAATAACTTGTTTTCTGGCTACATAACCTTTCTTTCTACTTATGTTATTAGCAGGGGTTAGATTTCAGCACAATTACTTGGTTTTGGTTCTATTGCATTGGGTGTTAACGCTGACCAAAAAAGAATAATTGGCTATTAACGATTTTAAAATTTATTTTTTAAATTGTGATTGTAGAGGTTATAATGAATGGTTGATGAAGATAATTTTTTCTTAGATCTGATTCAAAGCATGATCCTGGTTGCGGGTACTTCTACCATCACCCAGTTGCTAACCATCGAAGACTACTATTGGCATGAGAGTCCACTGTTTCATGCATATTAACTTTATAATCATATATTTTTTATGTTAAATAGTCTTTCTTTAATAAATAGCATTTTAGTGTTTTATTCTAAATGAATAAATTGTTTACACAAGTTGATTTTTTTTTTTAAATAGTATTCCGCGATAAGTGCTCTATTTTTTTTTTGCTGTATAGTGTATAGTGGCTTCAGGCCTGGGTTATTGCTATTATCCTTCATTACACAAGTAAAGTTAACATACTTGTAGCTCAGCGGATGTTCAAGAGTTAGATAACCCTTGACTTCAGATTACCCTACAACGCCAACCAATCCATCCGTATAGAACATGTAAATCAGAAACACTTCAATCTTGAAAAACACAAACTAAATTCCCCCAAAGTACACATTTTCAGCTCAATATAAGTTTGAGACAAAGATTCTACAGGTGCAAAGCACATCCAACAAATCAATAGCTCAAGTTTTTATCTCTCTCTTTGAATCACCTCCCATGGATAAGTGGGAATGGAAAGGCAGCTACAAGTAGCAGTAACACAGCTGTCCAATTTTTATTTAGTAATTAGAACCTTCCGAAAAAAAAATGTTTTTATCTTAATCAAACTCCTAGACAGAGATACAGTCAGACATAAAATATACAGAAACATACAAACAATATGGCAGTATAAGGAGAGAGATAAGAAGAAGAAGATGAAGAAGATAAAGGGGAAAGTAAACCTCGATGACGTACTGAGCAGCAGCAGTGCGGTTGTTGAGAGCAGCCCACTGGAGAGCATAATAACCAAGCCCATCAGGCTCGGACACCGAGGCACCCTCCCTCTCCACCAATCTCTGCAGCTTTTCCATATCCCCGTACGCCGCCGCCGTGTACACATCGTTCCTCAAACTATCTTCCTCCACTGCTCCACCGCCAGTCGCCGCAGTAGAAGACTCCCGATCTCTCGATTCCACCTCTTCCACCACCTCGATCTCCGACGCCATCAAAAAATTACCAAAAATACACCGGCTAATTATCAAATATACCAATTCCAATCCCTTAACAAATGAATCGATTCACTTACAGAGAATTCGATGAACAATGCATACACATATACTAATTGATATATGTATCGTGTCTGTATATATGATTGTAGCGCTTCTTCGAGGAAAGAGAATATAGAGAGAGTTGACTAAGTGCAGGCTTTAGGCTTGGGGCCACGAAGAAACAACGAAAACCAGAAGCCAATTCCAATCGCATATGGATATCCGGAGATTTTTTTTATTTTTTATTTTTTTATTTTAAGATTAATTACACTCGAAGTCCCAAAAATAAAATTTGTTTCATTTTGGTCTCTAATGTTTTAATTGCATCATTTTAGTCCTTAAAGTATTGAATATATTTATATATATTCTTTCAAACAGATAGCGCACAGATAACTAATAATTTTTTATCATAAACTTATTATGTAATACGTAAATATGGACAAAAAATAATTATAATAATAGCTCTTAAATAAAATTTGGGATAGTTCTTGACAAAAAAATTGTGTAAATATAGATAGTTTTTAACCAAAAATTTGATAGTTCATAATCAAAACTGTATAATTTAGGTAACTATTTAACTAAAATTTGAATAGAAATTTGGTCAAGAGTTGTCCAAATTATTTTTTTGTCTATATTTAAGTATCACGTGACAAGTTTATGATAAAAAATTATTAACAATCTAGAGGGACCCATATATAAATATATTTAATGTTTCAGAGATAAAATATTATAATTGAAACATTATAGACCAAAATGAGATAAATGTTATACTTTAAGAACATACAGTGTAATTAACCCTTTATTTTACTTTCAAAGATATCCGAAATCGTTAATAAGTCATTTAAGGCTGCGTTTGGACATCCTCTAAAATGCGATCATATCACTATTTGAATTTTCGCCAATGAGACGTAGAAAAATGGTGCTGCCTGATAACCAAGCCATGTTGTTAGTTTTTGGATTGTATCGTTTTGAACTAGTTTTTTACTTGGAGTTAGGAGTCGTTGTGCGAGGTGTGTGCGGTGAGAGTAACGATAGAGGTTTGCATCGATACGTGTACTACATATATTTTCAAATTTACTACTCAAAAAGAACTAACACAATACGTCCAATTAATTGGAATTAAGAAAATTTTACTTTCTTCGTTCTTAAATATTTATTGTTTAAGGTTTTTGCACAGAAATTAAGGAAGTTATTAAATAACAAGTAAAAAATAATTGCACAAAACTAAAATACTCTTATTCAATACGTATCGGGAAAGAAAGGAATATGAAAGGCACTTAGTCTCCACCTAATTTAATGCATTAAAAAATTTAGAAAAAAAAATATTAATTATGTTTTAGTTTCATTAAACGATAAATATTATGGAATAAAAAAAATTGTGTAAAACGACAGATATTTAGGAACGGATGGAGTATCTCTAATGCTACAAAACATATGTTTCATTTTTGTTTAATCTTAGATTTATGGATGTGTCTGATTATTGGAATTATTAAGGGGATGTTTGGGAACCAAGAGAATTGGTTAAGTCAGAATAAAAGCTTTATTATGTAATTAGCTTCGTAGGAAAGGTATGGTGAGTTGTGTTTTTCTTTACCACTTTTCCAAAATTATGGAAACAGTAAATTTTTTAAATTGGATTTCGTGAAAATAATCATAAATGATTGCAAAATGCCCAATTTAATAATGTGTTTCATGGTAATAATGTCTTCTCGATAAGTCTTAACTATTGCGATCACGAGGTCTCTTATTATGTCTATTATTTCTCTTAAAAACAAATTCAAATATACTAATATAACGGTTAATCACTAAGTCTTAATATGAACTCTAAGACTTAAATCTCCAATTTCAAAATAAAAAATTCGCTTGATACCTCAGTGAAGAACCGTAATCTCGCCAGTAGTTGAACCATTCAAAAAAAGGCTCAGATTAACTACGCTTCAGCTTAATGACAGCCAAAAAGGTGACAGAAAGACATTTAAATGGGTGACCAAACGCACCCTTAGTTTGGCGCTTATAATAAGTTGGGATGTGTCAAATAATGATTAATGGGTCAACTGTATATTCAGTTATTTCGAGGTGGGAGAATGAATACATAATATAAAATATATCAGATTTTAATTAATTTATCTAACCGTCTATAATAAACTCATTTAATGGCTACTAACAACATTATCAAAATTATTCACATTACGCCGTGGAATGACAATTAACTCTTAATAACATCTTCGATTCTTAGTTAAATCTTTATTCAAATTTAAATTTTAAAAAAATAATTCTTATTCAAATATAAAACAAATCAAATTATCTATATAATAAAATAAAATACAATTCAAATTTCAAAACATAAACAAAATGACTTTTGTTATTCGTGGTTGAGATCGCTTTAAATTTTAATTTAAAATTAATCTAACAACTAATATTAGCACCCTATATTGAATAAGAAAAATAGGTCTTTAAATGTGTGTTTGGAGTGACTTTTTAAAAATACTTATAAGAATTACTTGTTAAAAGTATTTAAAAAAAAATAATGTTTGAAACTGTTTTATCACTACCTCTACCACCACCACCCTCACCACTCCACCACCAACACCACTACCACTATCGTTGTCATCATTCCCGTCGTCGTCATAATCATTATCATCACCCTACCATACCCACAACTTCTATTGCCCCACCACCAACTACTACCACCACCACCCTACCATCATCACTATCACTACCATAACCATCCTCGCCATCACCACCACTTCCACCGCCCAACCACCACATTCCCTAATCACCATTGCTATTGTACATTACTACCACCGCTATTGTCCAATCATCACCCCTTCCACTCCCGCCACCCTACTATCACCCCCCATAACTATCACAACTATTACCACCATCGCCACTGTCCCACCTCCACCCCCACCCCTCACTATCCAATTGCCACTACCACCCACCATCGATTGGTATTATCGTCGTCTATAAACCACCGTCCACCACCACTATTATCTTTTTCTTATATTTATTACCATTACTACCATCATCCCACTACCACCATTAGCACCCCCCCCACCACCACTAGCCACTGTCACCTATCACCCATCACTTGTTATCGCCCACCACTGTCGCCCACCCACTATCACCTGCTCCCACCACACTTATTATTGTCGTTATTTGTCACCATCCATCACACTATCGCCGAGAAAAAGCACTCATCGTCGCCCACCACCATCACTAGCTATTGTCACCTATTCCACCACACCTATCACCATCATCTTGTCATTGCCTACCACTGTCGTCCACCCACTATCACATGCTCCCACCACACTTATCATTGTCGTTATTTGTCACCATCTATCACACTGTCACCTAGAAAAAAGCACCCCATCGTCGCCCACCGCCACCGCTCACCACCATTGTTACCGTCCCACCACCACCACTATCAACTATCATTATTGTTGTCCACCACCACCGATGTCATCCATGGTTATCATTACTATCATCATCACACTCAAAACTCACCAGCAACACCACCATTGTCACCCACGGTTGTTAACACCACTACGGCGTCACTTTACCCACCATAACTATCACCGTCTTCCACCATCATCACTATTGCTCACCCACCACTATCGCCGCTCACCCTCACTATAATCAGTGTTTAAATTTTTTTATCTCTCTTTTATGTTTGTAATTTAATTTTAGATGTAAATACAAATATATTGATTATTTTTTTTATTACTCTATGTCTTCACGCCCAAAAAATAAACTAATTTATAAATATATCACGTCATTTAGGATTGAAGCTCATTTGCATTTGTTCATTTATTGAATGTACCGAGCGTGAGTTCAACTTCTAAAAGTCGAACTAAATCAAGCAATGAATATGTTTGACTTGTTAAGCTCACCAATACATATTAATACATACATATATGTATATATAGAAACCGTGTTGAATTTTGAACACGAATGAACTTTTGAGTTTAAGTTCCAACATATGTTGAAACTGGACCGATGAGTGAAGTCAAGCTTATAGTCAATCATGTAAAATAATATTAACAAGTTGAGTTTAAATAAGACGTTTTAAATTAATTACATTCTTAAATAGATTCCAACAACTCTTTAATAATAAACGTATGCAATCTGAGCAATTTGATACTTGGCCTGGCTCGGCCAATCTGATTGGAGTTCTCATCGGAGAGTAAATTTTTTCATTATTATTGATATTTTATAATAATATAAATATAAATCATTCAACGATTACCCACATGACTATAATGCCGTGCTATGTGCGCCAGTCCAGTATGTGATTGTCACACATCTACCCAGTCCAATGATATCACAGTAGATAAATTTAAGCTAGATTCGAAGAGTCAAAAGCTAAAAATCACATTTTACTGTACAAAAAGACAATATTCCAATTTACACCCACAAAACCCTAGAATTTGTTCAAACAAAAACCCTAATTTTATCTTTTATCTTTTTATCTTTTTTTAATTTTTTGTTCTTACTCGTTTGGACACCCAATGACCCAAAAACAACCCTAACCCAGTAACCTCAAACTTCTCCCTCGTTTACTTTTTTTTTTTTTTTATCTCCATAGCCCTTTGTTTCTCTTTCTAAAACACTCAACTGTTTTTGTCTCTAATTATTGTGTAGTTTTTTCAGTTGGTGCAATGGAGGTTGGGTTTTTGAGCTCTGATGCGGTTGCTTTGGAGAGAATGATGGTTTGCTCTGTTATTGAAGCTGTGCTGGTTGAGACCCTTTTGGCAGCTGAGAGATATCTTGCTTGTCTTCTCATGATGGTATATGCTTTTTCTACCCTAATTTTATTGCAAAGTTTTGATTTTTATGATGCGGGTCTTGGATTTTATGCTTTGTTTTTTTTTCTTTGGGTGTTTGTTTGAACAACTGGGTTTTACTAGTTTATACCTGTTTTTTTTTTTTGCTGCTAGAATTTTGGTTCTAGGCGTTTCTAGCCCTTTTCTCTGTTTCTCACACACGATGACACGCACAAATACTTTGTAGATATACACAGTTGCTATTGGGATTTTGATTTTTTGATGTTTTGTGCTAGTTTAATTATATGTTTGTGTGTTGGATTTATTGGGAAGCTATGGATTTTCTATCACCAGTGGTTTTGCTTAGTGAGGTTATGTTATAAGCAAGTTCTTCTTATCCTGCTGCTTTCTGTTATATTCAAATTTAAAAAGACAGATTTGATGATTTTTGAATTCTGGGTTTTCTTGGATTCGTTGTATACGGTACTGGAGAGGTTTGTTTAAGTTGATCAGTATTTTGAATCTCTTACTATTGGAGCATTTGTGGTCTTAAGTGGCCTTTGGTTCTATTCTTGCCAATAAGGGAACATATTTATTCTGTGATATTTTCACAATGACAGATTTAGATATACGATATCTTACGGTAATTCATTTCTAGTACTCTACTCTTCAGTATATACAGAACTCATTTCATTGTACGCCTTTTATGCACGCTATATTGTTGCTTAGTACTTATCATTTATGTGGATTCTACATTATTTTTTTGGTTTTGAATTGCGTAAGAATGTGTTCGTCTTACTGTTTTAGGAAGCAGAAATGACGAGTCTTGTAGATTAGAAGGTACAAAAATGGCAGCAGTTTTACTTTTGTGTATATAGAAGGTTTGGTAATTAATTTCTGATAGTGCTTATAATAGTAAATGTGAAGGACAATGTCAATTTACATTTCGATAGACAGATCGTGTTGCTTGAACTTATAGAAAAGATCAACAAAGGGTAGATAACTCATTTATGATTCTAGACGAGATGATTAGTGAAAGGAAGAATTAATAATGTTATATATTTCAGGAGCTCGAAGAGTTGGCAACAAACAAAAATTGCCTCTCAAAAAAATTAATGGAATTTGACCTAAAAAGGCCGACGGGAATTCACTAGCTATCTGATTGAATAAGGGCCTCATTAACCTTGAAACGAAAGTAGGTAGAGGAACCCCGCCAACCCTGATAACATCTGCTGCCTCGGTAAACCTGATTTAGTTCGGTAAAGCCTGATTGGGATGACACAGGTGACTTGTCTTGCCATTTATTAAATTAAGAAGCTTTATGGAAGTGCAGCAAAGGTTTGTTTTTACTATTTAGATAGTCTAGAACCTGTGGTCTGTTTCTTGAGGATTTCTTTTAACAACTCTGTGTGGCGTATACATCAGGGTCTGTTTTGCTGAAACTTTCTCATCCTTGACTAGAAATGTGTGGACATATTTAAACCATTTTTAGCCAGCTTCAATTGAAATGTTCACAATAAACTGGATTTGGTTCTACAATATATGAGTCGGAGTTATTGTATATCCCTACACAATTTCGTTTGGTTGTTGGATTAAGGCTCTGTAGAGTTGATTCCTGATTGCATATCTGTTGCTTCCTCGTTCTCTACCAGTTGTTCTTCTTTGCATTAAAGATAAAATACAAATTTTTAGTCCATATTGGAGTTGAGCTGGTTGGAAACATGTCATCATTGCTTTGTTGCATGCATTTATATACATTTAAGCTCTCTTACCTACATCAGCGATGTTTTCAGGAAGGATCTCTGCTGAAGGATACTGAGGGGTTGCCTACATTGACTGGGACTGATGGAAGGTACTAATTCTCTTTTTTCGGGTATTATTTGCATCCCAAAATTGTGCTATTCCAGTGAACAAGTATGTTCAAACTTCATTTTGCAGGTTTCCTATGGATGAACTTCGTAGAATGAAACAGCCTGGTCCTGAAAACAAAGATGCTAGTGATACAGAGGATGATGATGCAGATGACGATGATGATGGTGATGATCAGGACGATGATGATGCAGGTGATGAGGATTTCTCGGGTGAAGAGGGGGGAGAGGATGATGATGAAGGGGACCCTGAGGATCCTGAGGCTAATGGTAATGAGGGCAGTGATGATGATGACGAGGACGAGGATGACGATGACGACGATGGTGATGGTGATGGTGATGAGAAAGAGGAAGAAGAGGAGGAAGCCGAAGATGAAGAGGAACAACCACCGGCCAAGAAAAAGAAAATGAAGTAATTGTATGTCTCTCTTTAGTTTTCTCATAGTCGGGAGTATGTTGTAGGAAGGGGAATACTTGGCCTATGTGTGTTGGTAGAGTGGGAAATTAGCCATCCTTGTTCAGAATGATCTTCCTGCTTTTTATCTTGTGATAGATTGTTATGATAGATATCTCATTTTGTGGAATGAATTGCTATTCTGGATTTGTTATCACATATTCCTGCCTTCGACTTTTCGATTTGTGCTACAAAATTGGAAAATGACTCCTACTGCTGTCTGCTGAGTGGCTGGAGGGAGGTATATGTTGGTCTTGTCTTGGGGCTTTTGGTGTTTTTTGTAGAACCTGCAAAAGTATCCACAAATTTCCCCTCCTTTGTATGGAAAATAGTACTGCATTTTGGGAGAAATCAATGTGTTGATCTTCTGAGTGTTCTCTCTCAAATAAGTTTTTCTGTCAAAATGCAGAATGCAAAATTATCCCAGATGGAAACACGGTCACTCTTACTTGCGAGTAACACGGTACAATTGGGGCCGTTTCGGGGTGTGGGCCCCACAAGATGGCCGGAATACGGGAAGAATGGGTATGAGGTTTGTCGGGTAATAAGAGATTAGATGTGTTACTCAAAAGAACAAGGGTATGGTTGTTGGGTAATAAGAGATTAGATATGTTACTCAAAAGAACTAGAACCGGCACAATATGCATAATCGATTGAAATTGAGAAAGTTCTATCCCTATTGTTACAAACACACAATTCATGGGGAGAGAAAGAAATAGATTGAACTAAGCACCCGCATGTCACCCTTCCAAGGAAGGGAAAAAAATGACACTCCATCATATGTAACATATTTAAATATAAACAAATAAAATCATATTTCTAATTATTTTAGATGCGAAAAAATAGGATTATCAGGATAAGGAATAAGCTAAACGAATAATGCAAGCAGTAGTTTTTTAAATCCAAGAGATCTTCTGAGTTTAATTGTCTACTTGACATTCAAACTCCTTTCAAGTGTTTGGAAATATGAAGTGAATTAAAATCCATGGCATGAAAATTGCTATCATGTTAACGCACTTCATTTACTCCTTATCCTCGTTAGCAGCAATGAAACAATGGACATTCATGTCATGATCCTTCAGAAACAGAACAAAGTTAAGGCGAAGTAAGCAAAAAATGCAAGAAGCAATTACTCACTTCATTTAGCAATTCCGTGTGGTAATAAATGAATACAAATGTATGAGGTAGACCCTTCAAGAAAAGAACTAATTTAGGAGGGTTCTGCTAATATTATTGGCAATGAAAACTGTAACCGAATGATGGGCCAAACTTACATATAACAAAGATCTTAAGAAGCTAAGATTGCAGGTTAAACTCAAAATCTTCTCTACTAATTGATGGTTCTAATACATCTATATGACAAACACGCAACCTAACATTGCCCAAAATAATAGGATTTATAACATTTTAAAGTCATCCAAAATAGCATAATGTTATGCAATCACATGGTCATGAATGCGGTTGCCAATTCAATAACTTATTAACCATACATATAAATGTAAAAACAACATGACCAAAGTCGCCATATTTAGTTTTCAAACATAAAATGATGTAGTAGTACATGGAAAGTTGCTAACTCCAGCTGTAGATGTTGACTAGAGCAATCACCTACAATGGAAAAAGATTCGCCAGAACTTCTTCAATTCCCAGTTCTAGATAGATGGTCACTAAACTCAGCAGAGCAACTTGCTATAAAGAAAGGATAAAATTGCATGGGGTCTTGAAGCCATAAATGATGTCATAGAATATGGAAAGTTGCTGCTGCCAGCTGTAGAGGCATGGCTGGAGCAGTCGCCTACAAGAGAAAAAGCTTTATTACTAGAATCTCTTCAAGTGCAATGTCTCGGTGATGAATACATTCCTACAGATGGTCATTAATCCTGCAGCAGAGTAACTCAAAAGAAATAAAGGATGAAAGTATAACGCAACCTTAGTATGGGCTATGGAAACTTGATAATCATATTTCAAGAACAGCAGCTTGACAAGCAACATAAAATTAACACATTGGTAATGCTAGATATTAGGATAGGAGATAACCATCGAGTTCCAAATTTCATATACAACATCTTAATTAATTAAAGGGCAAAGATATATGTGCTCATTTCCTTTCTAAGTGTGACAACACCAAAAGTCCCAAGAGATGAGACTGCTGATAAAAACAAAAAGTAGGAAATATTGGGGCCTGTTTGGTTTGCGTCTCAGAAAATAATATCCGAAAACTGTTTTTTGGAAAAAATTCTGAAAACTGGTTTTGGTATTTTTTGTGATGCAAAACTTGTTTGGTTATATATTTTTAAATAGAAAACCTGTTTGTATATGCACATGGCAAGAGATGCAAACTGAAAGCTTGCAATATTTTAATATAATAAACTTGATAAAATACAAAAAAAAAAAAAAAATCTAGCCATTGATTGAATTGCATCGACGGAGCTTTGCCGGAGTAGACGAACCCATCGACTGAACTGGTATATGACGGAGAAGAAGAACAAAAATCCAAAATCCAAGATCCATCCAAGTTTTAAACATACACAGCCTCTGGTACACGACGAAGAAGATGAATTCAATTGCCAGAAAAGAATTCTTTCGCTGGAGAAGACTTAAATATGAAAAAAATAAAACTAAGATTTGAAAAAATACACAGTTCTGAAAAAAAACCCTAGATCTGATGCTCTCAGTCGTAGGAGAGGCCTTAGTCAACGAAGAAGACATGAACCCATTTGCCGAAGAGTCAGAAATTTGAGAGAGAGAGAGAGAGAGAGAGAGAGAGAAGAGAGATAAGCAACAAAAAAAAGGTTTTATACTCAGTACTGTTTTTTGTTGCTAAGAAGGCTCGAAGTGAAGACCTCATTAATTTGGAGACGAGGTATGTTTTCCGCATTTTCATTTTGCTTCAAAAAACTCCGAGAACAACAAAATGTTGTTCTCTACAATCACATCTCAATTTCTAAAATTTCAAAAAATTAGAGAACAAAAAAACCAACAAAATAACAACTTCCTTGTTTTTAGAAATTTGAGATCAAAAACTGTTTTTAAAATTCAAACCAAACAGGCCCTTGATTTTCCTACCACTGAGCACTCTAGTACATAATAATGGCACGTCTTCTTTCATCCTCCTATGATTCTACCTATTGTTCACATTTGATATATGCATGACAATAAACATGATAAAATGCATATTAACTGCCAAACACAAACAAATTTTCTTTGACTATAAAACAACCATTAAAGCATTCAATCGACTTACTGTCTGTTTTGAGGGACATTATTACTATTTGACTTCTTACCAATATTATTAAGATTCACATTTCCTAAAGTATATTCTTCCATTTTTTCTTTTTGGTAGTTTAGGCAGAATTATTCACAAGCCCACTAACAAGGAATTAACAGTAGGCTATAGAAGTTAACATGGAATTCCAATTTTTAGCACCGACTAAACACCTTTGTAACATCTCTAAAACATTAAGATTTTAAACCTGTATTCCTATCCTTTCAAATTGTTCAGTGATTAACCATCAAAAGTGTTATTTTATTATATTTAATGATTGGTTGATTGTATATTATTCGTGATTAAATGTATTATATTTCTTGATTTTCTAGTTTAATATTTTTTTAGCAGTTTGATTTATTTTGCTGGTAATTTAGTTGATTTAAAATAAATATGGACAATACAAATGAAACAAACACCAGAAGAGTTGATAAGGATTGGATTGAAGGGTCAAAATTAAAATTTAAAAATTTAAAAATAAGACAACAATTTAATCTTTAAGGGAGTTCAAATTAGTAGGAAACTCATTTAGAGTTAGATTACGAAAATATTCCAGAAGATGAGGTTTTGACACGTTTTCAGTATTTTGGTCATAAATCTTTTCAATAATTCTATGGGAAATGTGACCAAGTTGCTCCAACTAGAGGCATTGCGTTTGCATTCATTTTATTCAAAAAGGTAAACCATGCCCAATTTTTGGAAAATAAGAAAAGGAAAGAAGCAGCAAAAAGAAGGTGAGACAGAGAGAGTGATTGACGAAGGCTAGGCTAGGTTTGGTAATACCCAAAACAAATGAAAAGAGATCGGGGAGAGAGAGAGAGAACTTCACAGATCTATTAGCAGGCTTAAATGAATCAGGTTTCTTCCTTGTAGATGCAAAATTTTAGCCTGCTTCTCTTCTACGTCATGCTACCATTTATCTAGACCTGCCCCTCTTAAACCTTTTTTAAGCTAAACCTCCCGTTTATTTACTTTTCGAAAAGATTCAAGTTACCTCTGTGCATTCATAGGTAGTAAAGAACCATCAACTTTACTACTTGGCATTCAACAAATTAAGGTAGGAAGTGTGCAAAATTGTACCAGACAAGTCCAATAGGGTGTGTTCATCAGTGAGACTATTAAAAAAGTACATTCCACTTTACACATAAATGAGGGTTTAGGAGGAATAGACCGAATATAGACCAGATTTTTGGCATAATTTGCACAAAGTGGTGCCTCAAATTCAAATGAACAGCCTCAAGTTTATTAGGACGTATTATGTAGACTATATTCTATATGCTATATAGTCATTATGGAACATTCCATTTTGCTGTCAGTTTTTTTGAAATTTTTATTTGATTCTTGTGAAAGTTATCTTGAGGCCTACAACTAGTGTATTGTTGCAAATCGCAACATGAAGCCATAGCTGCATCAAAATATGGCCTCACGGCAATCAAATACCATGGCTTTAAATCTTGGTTTCAATCTTCAGTTCAAATGAGAAAGTAACGTACATTTGCAAGAACACAGATCCCATTACAGTTCACTTACTCTGACACCTAACTAAAAGCCAAAATCAATAAAAATGAATCAAAAATACCCATCATTTCATTCTAACAAGTAGTTCACATCCATAACTCAAAGAAGAAATAAGAAAACATGGGCTCACAAATTAAATTATAAATCATTTACTCATGAAACTTGCCAGCTCGAAAAAGCATTATTCCCACAGCTTAATATTATCATAAACAAAGAAATACAATATCAAAAAAGCCCATCATAGTTTTGAATGTAACTAACTTAAACAAAGAATGGACAAACCATTAAAGACCATATCAGAACTCCTTCCAAACCTAGAAAATGGAACAGAATTATAAACAATTTATTGAATACCAAACAAATGGATAGAAGCTATTGATCAATCACGAGAATAGAAGATATTAATCAATCACGAGACAAATATCAAAATATATAATCACAAAGCCCCTTACCATACACTTACTATGTCAACTTCCCAGCTCGAAAAATTGCAAACTTTGACTTCTCAGAGTACTCATACAGAATTTCATTCTCTTTCAAAAACCCTTCAATCATCCCCTTCACCTTCTCCGGCTCCGTACTCTCACATTCCACCTCATAGAAAGTCCCAAACTCATACATTGTCTCATCTACCTCCAATTTCACCCCATTCCACCCGAACACATTCCTCACGTTCCTGAATCCACCCAACCCCACAAACCCATCTTCCCCAATTCCAAATTCCTCTTTTGCTCTCGTCAGCACCCTCGACTCCTCCACATAACAAAGCTTTTTCGGATTTTCTACGCATTCAAGGCCAATTGATGAGTCTAATTCCTCCTCATCCTCTTCAACCCGGCTAATTCCGTCTATAATTACGGCCTTTGCCTTGAGAGAAACAATGCATCTAGGGGGTTTATCTGGATTTTCATAGAATCGGAGACGAAGGACGGCACGTCGGGAGGAGAGCTCCGCTGCGGCGCCGTCGAAGAAAGTGTTGTGTTGGTGGTGGGTTTGTGTGTGGAATGGTGAGAGGACAGAGAGGAGTTTTTGGTGCGCATTTGAGTCTGGTAATCGAAGCTTCACTTCCACCTCCATGATCGATTGTCTTCTTTGGCTAGGGCTCGGTCTAGGTTTTGGGTATTGATACAGACCAAAACGGCGTCGGATTGGATTTTCTTTCACAATATGTGGGGATATTGTTATGTATATGGGTATGTATCTTAGAATTGGGATTAGGGTTGTGAAGTTGATACTCATAAAACGTCAACGCTGGGTGCGTTTTCAGGGTGGGTTTCAAGAGGAGAGGCCTATGCGTTGGGATTTGGAGGGGTGGTGTTTAGAGGCGGGGTCAAAGTGGTGGAGGAGGGAGGTGGCGCCGGTGGTAGAGGTGGTGGTGGCGGCGGCCGCGCGTTTGCGGGCTTCTTCGAGTTCTTCTTTGTCTTCTACTCTCACTTCAATCTTGCTCGGCTTTCTCCTCAGCATCTCGCTCTCTCCCCCTCACACAGAGACACACGCTAGATTTCCAGTTCGGAGCTGATGGTGTTATTGGTTTTTTAAGGGTCGGTAAACCCTTAAAACACGCTTCATTAATAAGAATAATAAATAAGTTGTTTGAATGAATAAAAAAAAACAAACAATACCAAATTGACATTGAAAATTTTAAGTAATATTATAAAAATAAAATATTATTTTTTATTTATTGTATTTTATGATCTAATTTTTGTAAAAAAATAAAAACACATGTTTGATTAAGTGATAATAAAATTTTAAACATAAAAATGAGTATTGAATTTTTTATTCACAAATTATATGTGTCAACATGAACAGACTACGAAGATAAATAAATCGACATTATATAATACAATTAGTTAAACGGGTTGAGTTAGAGTTAATTAATATTCGATACAAACTCGAAATAATTTAATACAAACTCGACCCAATCGAACGATTGCCACTCCACCCCTAATTTTTTTATCAACCAAAAAAGTAAGAAAGAGATATTGATCCGACCCAAATATCTTAGCCAATTTCATGATATTGGACTTCGGGGGACTTAATTGGGTCCATTATTGGGGTTCAATAATTCGAAGACTGTTCTTTTCGATGATTTGAGAACAGTTTTTGATGAGACTTTTTCAGAAGTGTCTTAGATTGGTGACGCGTGTTTTCGATGCCGAGGGTTTTTTCTCGCTTCGCCCGAGCCACGTGTCCTCGGATCCAAGCATTGGTGCAAAGATATCTCCCTCGGTTGCGACACCCTCGGTCCTGAGGGTACTTTCTGTGATCCCACTCACTCGTTTTAATACTTGTACCTCAGTTCATAAATCCTCGATTCTTGAGAAGATTGGGGACTGACAGGTGGACAGCCTAAGTCAAGCTAGCGACTGCAAAAACACCCTACATAATGCATTCAGGGTAACAGGTTGAGCTGGACATTCGACCAAAGAATGTTAGACACGTGGCGATGAGTACACCATAGAGAGTAAAAAGACAGGCCTAACCCTGTTAATATGCAGCCAATAAAGATACTCATTCAATATACTATCAGTTGACAAGACATTTACCGTGGCTTGATAAGTCAAAAAATTACAGCATTAAATGCTTGAGAATCCGGGCTTTTAATGCTATCACATATAGGAAAGTAACATTAAATGCTCGACAAGCCGAACAATGAATACTAGGACATTTCCCATCAAAAGTAAGGGGCACACTGTCCCACCTCTGAAGGCTATCAGTAGTCTAGATTGGCAGCAATGATGAGCCTTTGAAGGTATAAATAGTTCTCAAAAACACATTGCAAAGGTACACAACATTGATTCACAAGAGTCATATAGTGTTTTCTTCATTCCCTCTCTAAAATAGCTGTCTTGATCGTCGGAATGGATACGTTAGAGAGCACTCCGGCACCCTTCTAACCTGTTTTCTGTGTATCAGGAATCCCTCATAGATCTCCGGAACCAGCTTGACACCCCCAGCAGTAATTCATCACCAGTCTTTGGGACCCCTTTGTCCTTCTCAACCTGTTTCTTGTTGCTGGAACTATCATCCTGACGGGTCGAATCTCAACTAGAGTCAATTGGATACCCCATAAGCAAACTATTACTACTATCTAAGCTCCTTTTGTCCCACTCAACCTTTTTCCATTCCGTCATAACCGCTTTCTCGATAAACCAGAGTTTATAGTGTGAGAGATCTGTTCTCATTTCGACTATTGTGCAAAAATCAGCACACACAGTTTCTTTGAACAAATTTTATTTTGTGACTTTGGAATGACCAGTTTCATTATCTCGTCAATCTATTAATCTCAATCATAATATCAATTGGGTCATTGTATCACAAAGATCAGATGGTGCATGAATTGTAATTGTCACAACTAATAATCTGAAACAGCAAGGAGTAGTTTGAATACCGTATTAAGAAAAGAGGGACTATATTGGAGAACTAGTTATTCCTCGTGTCTGAAGCTACATAGTAATAAAAAAAATATTTAACAATAAACATATTTGTATTCATATTTAAAATCAAATCACAAACATAAATGAAAGAAAAAAGAATTTAATCACCGATTGTAGTGGTGGTAATGATGGTGGGAGACGGTGATGGTTGTGGTGGGTGGCGATGACCGTGGTGGTGGTGGAAGCCATAGGTGACAACGGTGATGGTAGTGGTGGATTTTGGGTGACAATGGCAGTAGTGGCAGTCATAGGTGATGACGATAATGGTGATGGTGGTGGTGGATGACGGAAATGGGGGTTGACAGTGATAGTGGTGGGCGACGATGTGCGCTTTTAGATGACAGTGTGATGGGTGGTGACAAAAGACGATGATGGTATTGGCAATAAGTGTGGTGAGGGTAAGTGACAGTTGATAGTTGTAGTGGTGGGCGATGATTGGTGGTGGTGGTAGGTGTGATAGGGGTGGGTGACAGTAGTTGGTGACAATAGTGGGCGACTACTGGTGGTGGGCGATGGTAGTAGTGGGATGATGATGGTAATCGTAATAAATATAAAAATAAGATGACGATGATGGTGGGTGGTGGCGGTGGACGACGGTGGTAACAATCGTAATGGGTGACGATGGTTATAGCTATGAGGGGGTGGGGGTGGGGGTGACGGCGGTACTGGGAGTTTGGCGACGATGGCAGTGGTGGTGGTAGTTGTGATAGTCGTGGGGGTGGTGGTGTGGCGGTGGGGGTGGAGGTGGTAGTGTTAGGGGTGATGATGGGACAATGACGGTGGTGGTAGGGTGCAACAACAACGGTGGTGGTAGTGGTGGCAACAGTAATGATAACAATGATAATGGTGGTGGCGAGTGTGGTAAAATGGCGATAGTGGTGGTGGTGGTGGTGGCGGCAGCAACAATGGTGGGGGTAGGGGTGGGGGTGATGGTGGTGGGGCGGTTCCAAACAGTATTTTAAAAAAAAAAAAATTATGAGAAATAATTTGTAAAAGCACTTTTAAAAATTTACTCCAAACACACATTTAGAAGTCTATTTTTTCTATTAAATTTGGAGTGTTAATATTAGATGTCAGTTTAACTTTAAAGTAAAATTTAAAGAGATCTCAGCCGCGAATAACAAAAGTCATTTTGTTTATCTTTTGAGATTTGAATTGTATTGTGTTTATTATATAGATATGGACAATCTTAGATTGATGGATAAAATCTAAGATTAAAACATGGATAAAGATAATGTCAATTCTAGTCAAATATTCGTTATATACGATATTAAGAGTTGAGTAATAAGTATTAAGTTCAATATACTTCTTTAGTTAATCCCATATATAATACGAATTAATTTTTTGCATCTCCTTTTAAAGCATTTTAATTTAATATAGTATGGTGTGTGTGTAGGGATATCAAACGTGTTGAGTTAAATGGGTGATGGGTGAAAAATATATATACCCATACAAGACACGTTTAATAAACGGGTAAAAAATCTCAACACGAACACGACCCGTTTAATAAACGGATAACACGACACAACTCGTTTAACCCGTTTAATTTTAAAAAAAATTATATCAACAAATTTTAATAATTAACTTTTTTTTATTGTCAATTGTACTTACCTTAAATAAAAAGAATTTTTAGTCAAATCTCATAAAAATAAGACTTGAAAGCTTAAAACAAAAAAGTAAGAGATCATTACTTTTTATGGGTAACTTAGCCCTTCCCATCTCCCCTCATTTTTCAATATGGGACAAAAATAAAAGGCATTGGTTTGCCTTTGTTTTTGAAGTGCTACACATCTCATTTCATTTGTCTTTGAACTACTATTTTTATTCTTACTTTTTTTTTCTTACTAATTTTTTAAAATAATTTTTAATTTATTATTATATTAATTTTATTTTAACAGAAAAAACATGTGATAAACGGTTTGACAGGTCTCACCTGAACACCACCTATTTATTAAATATGTTTGCCGTGTCAACCCGTTTATTACTCAAACCCGCTTAATTCGTGTCAGTTAATTATGTCATGTCGGATTTTGACAGACATATGTGTATGTCGCACAATTGAACAGGAGCTTATGATCTTGAGGATTCCTTGGGTATCACTATGTGACCTAGTTAGAGCTCCTAAGCTCTTAAGAGTTGAACAAGGGAGATGGGGAATTGTACACATGGAGTTTATAGTGGTTCACCAGTTTGGAAGCTCGACTAATCCACTCTCAAGAGAGTCTCTTGCTCCTCGGGATAATTTTATTGATAAAAGGAAGAAGATTACACAGATTATTTGTTTAGGCTAGTTGCTTGTTGTTTTTTGTGAGGAATATGCTTCTTATTTATACTCTTCTAGTGCCTTGCTTGATCTCCGATGATCCTTGCCTCCTTCTTGTTACGGTTGTGCCTATTATGTAATTGTCGTGGATAACGTTGAGGTGGTTGTGATTTCCTTACCCAAATATAAGACCATTACAATTTTTGTGTGGCGCTTGGGTGAAAGCCAACTATCATCCTTGTTGTTCTTATGAGGGTGCCGTTGTTGGGCAAGAGGTGTCGACCTCATCATCCCCTAGTTATATGTGACGAGCTGATTGATCCAAGCTAAATGCCCGAGCTCAATCTTATGCGTATTTTGGGTATCATCAAATACAAATTAATTTTTTCATCTAAATCTAAGTATCAACTCATTTTAAAGCATTTTAATTCAATATGACTCTTTAACAAGCTCTATAATATAATAACCAAACGACTCCTAAGTTTCCTAACCAAGAATTTAAGACCATATTAACTAAACTTAAAAACCAAGGTAACAGCATATCTGACAAATTTATTGATACAACTCTCTCTCTGTCTTTCTCTTTCTCTCTCTATTGTAGTGTACTATATAGCAATCACCTTGCCCTCTCCATGAAAATTACAGTTTGTATCAAAACTGCACGAAACCATGGTGCTAAAACTGTCAAGCTCACTTTTGATTCTCTCAATAATCTCATCCATGGCCATTTTGGTACCGGCGAGGCTTGCTCAACCGCCACGCCCACTAGTGACCATCTCAAGCCCCGGGCTGCGGCCACCAAGATGGTCAGATGATGATATCTCGGATTGCTGGGCGCCGATCATGAAGATCGATGGTTGTGTAACTGAGATGTATGAGTTTCTGTACAAGAATCAATTCAGCAGTGTTGGCCCTCAATGCTCCCAGGCTATCGGGAAAATTGACGACAGTTGCTGGCCTAGAATGTTTCCTTTCCACCCGAAATTTCAGTCCATGATCAAGGAACACTCTGCTAAGTTTGTGTGGCCTGAGGTTCCAGAATAGGTGCCATGGTTATGCACCTTAGTTTGAAGTGTTAGAGTCACTAGGAAAAACCTTTTGAGAAGGTTTTTAGTACTGTTATACGGATCAATTCAACTCAGTTCGGTTTTAATTTGCTCAAACTATCTTATTTATATAAATAATGAACTGAATATGAGCAAATTTTTAAGCTCCTTCAGTATTCAACCCTAACTGGAGCAATGTGATCGAGCTTGATTCATTTAACATTATATTTCAATATTTGTGATGGTTATAAATAATAGAACAACACCTTTAATATATAAAACAAGATGTTTCACATCTAATAAAGGGTTTTAGGCTTTGAGTCTTATTTGGATGTGTCTTTTAAATTCACGTTAGGTTGAGTTACAAAAATTGAGTTCAGCCAAGCCAAGTCGAACTTGAGCATATCATCTAGAAAATGGCACAAACTTGTATACAAGCTCAGCAGTCAAGCTTGACCCAAGCTCACGCCAAAGAAGCTCAACTCATCTCAACTCAAGCTTAAGCCAATAAAACTCAACTTGAGCCAAATGTAATGAAGCTAAAACCTGAATTTTTGGCTCAATCAACACCTCTATTCATTGGACAAACCAATTTGTGTGGTGGATCAAACATTTTACATTGGTTTCTCTTAAATTGGTGTTAGCTTTGGTGCTCAACTTTTTTTTTCTTCTTTTCTTTTTAGGGGAGCCGCTTGTCACAGTCTTGACTCGACATTATATTATCCACGTGAGTTAGCAAAATGGCCTCAATTCGTCACCAAAAATCTTGAAAAAGATTGAGAACCCACAGTTGAAGGCATTTTTCTATTATTCTGATTTTTCGAAAAAATTATATGCAACTTATCATACTACTAAGATTAGGGGTAGTGCAGTTTGGAATTCACATTCATCAAGATAGAGTCGTGTGCTTGCTTGGGAAAGGATTGTAATAAAACCACAATTGTGGAGAATGAAGTCGGAAACAACATAATTTTGCTAATATGGAAAATAAACTATGACATTAACAAGATAGAGAGATCCGCTTCTAGTCACTAAGTAGTGTTATTCTGTGCTCCAAAGACTAGACTCCACCAATTGGTCCTTCCTCTTTCCTCTTTCACAAGTGAGTGGTGAGTTTCATTTTTTCTTTGAAGTTTGAGCTTAGCCATCTCTTCCAGTGTTTTGTGCCATTGTCTTTCGCTCTATGGCAGCAAAGGATGCGCTTATTCAAGGACGTTCAAAGCAGCGTAGTAGATCAACACGGTTATATAATAGGAAGAGCAACAAGAAAGCCTTTAGAGAGAAAGGTCCCCTCTTTTATGCCCTATATTGAATACCTATGGGGACCATTTACCCCTTCTTGTCTATTTTACTAGCATGACTCCTCTCTAAAGTCTCATTCAAGTCCTTAGTCCCACATAAAGTCATTTTTAAAGACTTTTGACATGTGAGCTACTTTCTATTCGATTTCTTTAACAAAAGTCCTCTTACTAAATCCAATCGGTCAATATTAGATAGACCCTTGCTACAAATCAGAAAAGTGCATACTGATTGAAAAGAAAGGAAGTGATAGAGTATAACAGATTCACTGAGGAGCTGCAACAAAAGAGAAAGAGTTACACTATACCTCAAAAACCCAAGTTAAGGCTGATAAGATTGTGGCTCTATAGATTTTGCTCTAATACTACTTGTCATGGGCTAGCAATTCAAAAGCTTAATGGTCTGTTTGTTTTGTGGGTTTAGGGGGTATTGATGTCCAGGGTTTAGGAAAAATAGTCTATTGGACCCCAAACCCTATATTTGGGTTCAATTTTCAAGCTTGGGTGACCAAACCCAGCCTATAATTGGCCCGGAGACTGAATCCCATGAACATGGGTTTCGTCAAACCTGGGGTACGGATGAGTTTCAAAAGAGGGTTAATGGGTTAAAGATGGAAAAAGATAATTATACCCCTTAGAACCCTGTTTACGGTATTATACCCCAATCTCATCCTTATATAATACGTGCTGTTCTTATCAACTACATTGTCTCTTTTAATTTAACATAATGTTCCCAGTTTTTCTGTTTCCTTTTTTTTTAGTGGTTTATTTTCCCTTTAATTTAATGATTCATGTTTCAACCTGTACTTTTTTTTAGAACTATATTCTTTATTTTATCTTGCTTAAATGTTTCAATTTCTTAATACAAATTTTGTTATAGGATTTGAAAGCTATATTGGGTAGTTTCTTTCTAGTTATATTTTATCAATATTCATGTTTTATTTCATAAGTTAGGAAGGAAAAAAAATCAAATATGATACCCATAAGAACACAAAAAAATGTACCTAAACAAACATGGGTATGGATGATTGACCAAAGGGCAACATAGTCATTTATAGGACAAATGGTTGTTAATAATTATGATATATTGATATATTTGTGAGTCCTACATGTGTATATATTGTATACTAAACATGGATATAAATTAGATTCAATATTGAATCTCATCTTTGTAAGGAGGAGTTTGAGTTTGAGAAAGTCAATCCAAACCCTCACCAAAAATTCTTCTAAACATACCCTAAACCGTGTGATTATCCACCCAATAGGCCAATACCTTACAAGCTCATATGACACTCCTCATCCAAAACTTGTGGGACATGTGACACCCTGCCACAGATAGGCACAGGGAATGGGGGCCCTTTATTGGAGGGTCTACTGCTGATCAACTGCTATCGACTCCGCTGGATGGAGCCACCAGAGGCTTACTTCCATTAGCCTCCGTATCCCCTACAACATCGGAATACAGACACAATTTCCTGTTTTCATTGTTTTAGGCACCAAAGAATGGTCGGGTGGGCACAAGTTATGGAATGGATCATGTAAACATAAAATTGATATATTAAGAGGATTAACGTGACACAATTAAAAGAATTAGTATCAAAGTGAGAGAAAACACATGCTCGACCTTTGCACTTTTGTAATAGGCTTCTGATTTGGTATGTGGTGATACTCCATCGATGGGGGATGAGTTCTTGTTCTAAAATTTTATTTTTTCTTATTTTCTTACTATTAAAGTTTTCTCTTTCATTTTTAATATTTTGACATCTTCTTTTCTAGTGTGTATCACAATGCTATGTATATAAATTTGATCCTCTCAATGACGCTCCCGCTCTCAATTTTTTTTTAAAATTTTGCGCTCTTGCGTTCACACTCACGCTCCCCCTGTGTAATTTAGGTTCAGATACAGCATTAGATGAGATTGGACTATCCCATCCAATCCAATCTAATCTCTTCTACCTTGCACAATGGGTAAATTTTGTTATCTATTCCATGTATACCGTATTTCAATCGAGTTTGGGACAAGATGCGGGTTCACGGTTTTAGTACAATTACCATTTTTAGATTCATGGTCCATGGACAACAAAAAATTGAACTCAACGCAGCAATCCCAAAAGTTTAGATTACGGAAGTCTTTGACTATATATATGTGAAATCCTTGCATGAAAATTAAAGTTTGTATCAAATCTGGCCCAAACCATGGTGCCAAAACTGTCAAGCTCACTTCTGATTCTCTCAATAATCTCATCCATGGCCATTTTGGTACCGGCAAGGCTTGCTCAACCGCCGCGCCCATCCGTGCTCATCTCAGGCCCCGGGCTGTCACCAAAAAGGTCAGAAACCTCGGATTGCTGGACGCCGATCATGAAGGTCAATGGTTGTGTGGCTGAGATTATTTAGTTTCTGTACAAATCCACCAGTATTAGCCCTCAATGCTGCCAGGCAATCAAGAAAATCGACGACAGTTGCTGGCATAGAATGTTTTCCTTTCCAACCAAAATTTCACTGTATTATCGAGGATTGCCATGCTAAGTTTGTCTGTTTGTGTGGCCTGAGGTTCCGGAATAGGTGCCATGGCCATGCACCTTAGTTTGAAGTGTTAAGAGTCACTATTTTTCTTGTCTATTCAGGTCTTGGGAAAGTCTTGGAAATGTAATAAATTAATCTCTAATTTCTCATATAAAGGAAAAACCTTCTGAAAAGGTTGCACTGTTATCCGAGAGTAGAATTAGTTTTTAGTACCGTCATACGAATCAATTCAGTTCAATTCGATTTTATCTTGCCCAAACTCATTTTAATAAGAAAATAAACCAGATATGAACAAAGTTTTAAGCTCCTTCAATATTCAATCCTAGATAGAGCAAGGTGTTGGAGTTTGATTCATTTAATATTAGAATATTTTTAACCATGATTCAAATTTGAGTAAAAAGTTTGATTTGATATAGAGTATTCTAATAGACAAACTCAAATATTTACTCAAATCTTTTACAAAATTTTTTATTGTTCCAAAACTCATTTTTTGTGTCATCCAAATCATAAAATTTAATAAAATAAATGAAACTTTCTTATCTTCCACAAACGGATAATTCAATTTTTTTTTGAATATGGATACAACACCACTGCAGAATAAAAGAAACAAAAAAAAAATAAAAGAAAACTACTCCAGAATTCTCAGATTGTTATACTTCTTTTTTTTTTTTGGTAAATCCAGATAAAGAAAAAGAAAAAAAAAAGTAGTTACTTTGACATGGTCTAGTCTGAAGAATACAAAAAATGGATAGTTTTCAATAAAAATGGATGATTAAAAAAATAAAATAACAAATTTTTTAAATTTGTGTAGTGAAGGTTTAAAATTTTAGAAAGAATGAATGGCCTGAAATTGTATTATCGACAGTGTTTAACTCAAAAAATCAAAGAAAAATTTGATGGATAGGCTTGGAGTTTATATAGTATGAAAGATAAGTGAGACTAGGGTTTTAAAAAATATAAGAAATTAAGAAGATGAAAGATGAAAAGGAAGAAACTTACCTACCGCCTTTCAAAGGATCTGTAAAAGCTTCGGTGGTAGTCGGCGATGAAAGCAACGTAGAAAAGAGAGGCAAGAAAAGACAAATAACAAGCCATCGAAGAAGTCTTTTGGCTTTGAATAAGGTATTTGGTATATAATTTGAATCTCTCTCAATTTAAGTCCAAAATATATATATTTTTTAATTTGGTATAAATTTGAGTTCAATGTTAGAGAAAGTTTGACAATTTAAACTCAAATTTAAATTTGAGTTTAAATTAAAGTCAAAGTTGGAGATTCTCTTATATATCAATATTTGTGATGGTGATAAATAATAGAATAATACCTTTAACATAATCAACAAGATGTTTAACATCTAATAACGAGATTTAGGCTTCGAATCTTATTTGGCTGCGTCTTTTAAATTCACGTCAGCCCAAGTTCAAATTCAAGGCCGAGCTATGAAAATTGAGTTCAGTCAAGCCAAGTCGAATTCATTTATAAGTAATTACAAATAATACTTAAATCAAACATGCCCTCGTTTGTATGTAAATATCAGGTTCATTCCAATAACTGATGGCAAAATTGGACCCAACAAAACAATCCCAAAAGTTGGGATTATGGAAATCTTTGTTATGCAATATAGCCTTTGACCGACTCAAATACCTTGACAGATTCCACATCTGTGAAGAGAATGATTAATTGAGTGACTATGTATGTGTGCAATACATGCAACTACAGCACTTGGTCAATCATAGAGACTGAAGACTACCTTATTTAATCTTCTTAGAATGGATAATCTTTTATATCCGTAAACCACCTTAAATCTCAGTCAAAATTGCTGGGCTAAATATCACAGATATCTCCTAAAAGATTTAGTTTGTTGTCTCAACTTTCAATTATCTTTATTTACTCCTTATTATCTTCCAATAACAATCAATATCTCGGGTCTAATTTCATGGTAAAAAAAACAAACAGCAAAGCTAGATAACTTGAAGTCACAAATTGAAACAAGTGCGAGGGACATTTATGATATTTTACCCAAAGTTTACTACTATAAATCTCCCCCATTTCACAGACATGAAGCTCATCAGTACCTAGCTGAAACTCAAGTCTCTCCACTTTGCATAAAGGCTAAAGAGGCATGGCTTCCAATTCACCAACTACAATCCCTTTGTTGTTGATCATGGCATGCCTCCTAGCAGTGCTAGTCCCATCTGGGCTAGCCCGGCAGCCACGGCGGGAGTGTCGGGATCACCTCCGTATTGCTCCCAACCTGTCAGTGCCACCACAATCTTCTGAGAAATTTTTAGCACAGCAATGCTGGGCAACCATTTGGAACTTAGGTGCTTGTGTTGCAGATGTTTATCGGTATTTTTTGAGCGGCCGAATGGGGACTGTTAGCCCTACTTGTTGCAAGGCATTTACTGGGATCAATGTCAAGTGCTGGCCAATAGTTTTTCCTTTTAACCCCTTTTTTACTCCACCATCACTCAGGAGCTTTTGTGCAGTCAACGAAGGAGCTGCCTTGACACCTTCACAACCACTGTGACCAAGCCCTTCTTATTGGGTGCATGGTTTGTTCTGAATGACTAATAAAATGTTGATGCAACTGATGGAGAAAATGTTTAGTGTAGTTACTCACTTTTCTGTTTGTTTAAGATGGTACCTAGAATTATTTTATTTTGATGATTTCTCATAAATCACATTAACTTACATCTCTTTTCTAATAGTGCAAAAAAAAAATCATAGGTTAATAGCACTTTAGGTCTCTAAAGTACGCTCGTTTTGTCAGTTTCGTCCTCAATGTATCAATTTTATTAATTTAATCCTTAAAGTATGAGCAATGCTATATAACTCAAATTTGAAATCTCAAATCAATAAAGATCATTGGATCAGTGAGTTCCATTTAAAAAAGTTAATGGGAATCACTCATCCAATGATCCTTGTTTATTTGGGATCTAAATTTGGATTTCATATCATTTTCCTTAAAGTATTTAATTCGTATTTAAATAATCCATACATAGACGGATCGTTTAGTTTTTAACAAAAATGATCACATGATACAACTTGAAATGCCATTTTCATCAAAAACTAATAGTCCATCTATGTAGGTACCATTTAACCATGAATTGAAAATTTAGTGACAAAATTGATACATTAAAAACCAAACTGACAAAATGAGCCTACTTTAGGGACAAAAAAATACTATCAATCCCAAAACTCAGATAGATGAAGTCAAAAAGATCAAATTCTTGGCTATTTTCGAATATTAACCTCAGAAAGCCCCTACTTACAATTAACAAGTTCGAAGTATAGAAATGCTTAAGTTACTATTCTATTCTAGGAGCTTTAAAATGTCGATTTAACATGGGGCATAAGGATTAAAACGTAATATTTGCATACATCAATATGTCGATGCTTATGACTATTATATATATGGAGGTTGAATATAGAATGGGGATGTAACACATGATAGATTTTATATAAACATGATGGAAATTGTTAAATTTCTTAGGTGTTTTTTGAGTTATATGTTTTAAAATTAGGTTTTATATTGCATTGGAGATATGGTCCAATCAATCTCTTCCTCACAAAACAAAACGAAAAAAAAAAAGATTTTAGTGCAATTTTCTTAAAATTTAAGGTACGTTGACTGCTCAGATTCAATTCATTATAATTTGGCAGAAGAGAAATATAATTTATAATCGTTTCTGCTTACTAACACAAATATGAACAAAAAGAAAAAAAAACATAGTATTAAAAAGTAACTTTTCGGTTTCAACTCAAATAAATCTTGCTCCTAGTTTTTTTACCTTGCATTTACGCAATGAACTTACTGTAGTGTAATGGTTTCACAAATACACAAAACCTAATTCCCTGTAGTCAAAAGCTGTAAAGGGTAAGTTTCAAAGTTGTTGACATAATTTATATGCTACTATTTTAATTACTCATAAATGTCTTTTAAAGAAGGAACAGTTTCAAAGACATTATAGCAACTTGTCTATAAATAGCCTCACCCCCAAAGCAATTCTCACTCCAAGCATACTATAACTTGCCACCAAAACCACCTACCAAGTATCAAATTCACCAACAATGGCTTCTGCTACCACCATATGTTCGATTGCACTGATTGCATCATGCATCTCAATGTTGGCTGCACCAATCTTTGCCCATGATCTGCCCGGAGGCGGGCTCGGTGGCCTACGAGGGGGCCCATGGGGCGGGCTCGGGGACCCTTTGGGTGGGCTAGGGAATGGTCAGTGCCTAGCATCTCTGAATGGAGTCCATGGGTGTATCCAAGATGTTTTGATATCCATCTTGACCCTTCAATTCCGATTAATCGGGCCGGCATGTTGCCAGGCTATCGTAAACATTGATGATAATTGTTGGCCCAAGGTGTTGCCTCTCAGCCCAATATTCCCCCTAAGAAACTATTGCACAGAAATTGTAATTGTTCCCAGGTTTCCACAACCAGCACCACCAAGAGTGTAACGTCCATCTGCTCTAACGGAAATAAGCCCGTGAAGGCCTGGCCATCGATCTCTTTGGGCATCAGAAAGAAAATTTCAAGAGCCAGCAAAAAATTACTGCACTGAAAATGAAAAAAAAAAAAAAAAAAGTTCGTCAGATAATTGTAGGAGAGTGTACTTCAGCACTGGCTATGTTAGTGATTACTTCAGCACCTTCACAACCATTATGAACCCCCTCCCCCCTCTTCTCTCTCTCTCTCTCTCTCTCTCTCTCCCCTGATGGGTGAGTTGTACTGAATGACTTATGAAGTGCTGCTAAAACTGATATGGAAAATGTACTGGAGTGACTCAATTTTTGTTATGCAGAAAATAAATTTTTAGACCCCCAAATTATATGCTTTGTGTTAGTTTGGTTATCAATCTTTCAAACTGTGTCAATTTGATATCTCGAGTATTCAATTTTGGTAATTTTGGTCCAACTTTGACAATTGAAAATGTGGGGGACAATCTCAAAGATGATTCCCACAATCTCAACATTTTTTGAGGGTCTAATACCTACTCTTTTTCACCATTCAAAAGCATGTCAAATGTGTAGTGTTATGATATCCGCATATTTTTCTTTTATGAATGATGTAGTTTTATCCTATTTTTGATGATTTCTAATAGATAATAGTGCAAAACATCATAAAGATGAAGTAATACATATATAAACCGGCAGCAAGCCCATCTTGAATTAACAAGATCGAGTTGAGTTTCGTACGCCTAACAATTAACCATTATTAAAAAGCCTAAACTAGAGCCAGATGATCGGGGCCAAGGGTAGAATTCCATATGAGGGGGAGTAAGATAAGAATAATTTTTTTTTTGAAGTTCAATTACAAGAAATATATTAAAATTAAGATTAAATTACTAAATGAAACATAAACTAAATTTTTGAAGAAATTTTGACATAGAAAAATCAAGAATTAAATTACAGCTATGCTTCCTAAATGAGATTCTTAAGCAATGCATTGGTATGTTGTAGAAACCTAAAAGAGGACGCTACAAAAGTAATTTACAAAAGCATTTTCTAAATATTATGGTTAACTTTCAAAAAGAAATTAAGATCAAGAACTCAGGGCTGTCAATTTTCAATATGATACGTTAATACGACACAAACTGAATACAAAATTAATGGGTCAGACACAAAATTAAACGAGTTAATGGGTTAAAATAAATAAACACGCTTAAACAAGAAAAAAATCATGTCAGATTTATGTCAAAATCAGATCAACCCAATTTTGACTTGATTAACCCGTATATTTTAAACGGGTTGACTTGATTCAGACACGAACTCGACCTAACTCATTGTAGATCCATTTAACCTATTTATAGTAATATAGTTTGTCTATTATGTATGATTGATGTAGTTTTCACATTATTACTTATTAGTTCTTACTTGTACTATGATAATTGACGATATATTTTTTAATATTATTATGACAATATACTTGTATAGTTCTTGATTTAATTTTTGGATTGAAACTTGAATGCATTTTAGTTAATTTTATTGATAAGATGTGATATGTTATTTGAAAAAAATTATTTGAAATTTTGAATGAATGATTGAATGATATATTTAATGATAATGAACTGGTGTGAAAACAAGTAGACCTAGCAATCGTGTCGAGTGGAACTAGTTTGTATCAAAAAATCTCCATTCATACCTCATTTATTTATATAAACGAGTCTAACTATCACACTCATATACGAATTATTTATTAAATGGGTTACCTGATACAATCTATGTGTTACCTGCTAAATAAGAGAATAGATTAGAGTATTTCGAGTATACAAGAAAAATCATCAACTTGTTACACATTATATATGTTTGACCTCTTTACTATAACCATAAATCATGGCTGAGCAAAAAAATAAAGACAAAAAATAAATATTAAATGACCACTAAATTTGAATGAGTCTAAGAGATAGGAAGTGTGAGATTAGACAGATGCTGCGAGACCTAACTTTATTTAAAAAAAAAATTATAGTATCACTATTAACGGGTTGAAACAAGTTTATGGGTTAAATACAAAATCGGTTCATTTATTTCACGGGTTTGCCGAGTTAATCCGTTAATCACCCGAGCCCGTTAAGACTACACTCAAATCCGTTAAATCGATATGTGTTATGTGTGCTAAATAAGTTAAACAGATCATGTTATGTGTGTTAACTCAAAAACAACCTGTTTATTAAACGTGTCAAATAGCTCGGGTTCAAATAACTCGTCAATCTGACCCAAAATGACCTAACCTGACACAATTGACCCCCCTATTAGAAGTGCCCATAGTCATTCATTACTCTTCAATGTATTAACAATGAATGATGTGTGTTCTACGTGAAAATATTTGTTGAAACATTTGATAAAATATATAAAAAAATATTAATTATATAGCTTTATTAGATTTTATCTCATATTTATCATACTTAAATTATTTGTATCTTCTTCATCTATACTACTAATAAAATTATCTTACATGAAAAACTTTTAATTGACTATTTTGCCTTTATAAAAAATTATAAAGACTAACACGTTATTTTAAATTTAAATATGCAGATTACCATTATATCACTCTAATACTTAAATAATAAACTAACATTTAACATATTATGTAAATCTCTATCTTTGCAAAACTTTTAAATGATCAAATTACTCTTAACAGGATAAATAAAAAAATACTTTTTTTTAAAACCCTAATATTACACATCGACAACTTCATTGATATAATATTATCTCCAATAGCAATAAATTGATATATATATACCATTTCTCTTTATTCACAATACAAACAATTTAAATATGATAAATATGAGATAATATTTAATTTAACTATATAATTAAATTTTTATATATTTTATCAAATATTTTAAAGAAAATTTTCATGTGCAACGTAACGTCTCCTGATAACACTCTATCACCTTAATCCATTCTTTTGTTGAGGGTCTGACACTTATTCCGGCTCTCTATTTACATAGCGAAGAAAGGCTCTTGCTTGAATGCGTGACTGCGACGCCCCTATCGCCCTGGCACGACACTCTAAAATGCATGTTAGGTTGAGCAAGAATACTGCAACTAGGGAGACGAAGAATGAAATTGAAGGTATAGTCTCAATAAAAAGAATTGAACACCATGGCGGATTTGGATGGAGTCTCGCAGAAACCTATTAGAGTAAGATAGGTTTCTTGAGCAAATCTTTTAATCGTGGGAGGAAAGGGCAGAAAAGTGAGCCCACTCCAGGCAAACCCACTTCTCGTTATCTTGTTCCTGGTCAAATTCCCGTATCCGCTCCTTACTCCAATCCTCCCCATCAAATTAAAGTAACCTAAGGAAGGGGCCACGTGTTGCATTATTAGTAACTATAAATATCTAATAGGCTCATTTTCTGTAATTCTTTCATTCGTGCTACCAAGTAATAAGAGTTATGAATTTTTCTTTTTTCGATTTTTCTTTCTTTTTGTCTTTCTCGTTTTTACTTTGTGCATCAATAATTTTTTATCAAATTATTTTGATTGTGAATAAAGAGATAAGAGATATATATATATATCTAGTTTTAAGTATTAGAGATGATATTGGGTCAATGAAGTTGTTGACGTGTATTAATATTAGAGTTTTGGGTAAAAAGAATAATGTTGTTTTTATATATCATATTAAGCATAAAATGATCATTCAAACTTTTGAAAAGCTTATTTTCTCAAAAATAATCGTTACAAGAATTGTTAATAATATTATATAAACAATGCATGTTTTTGGAAAAGAATTTAACTTTTTTTTATATAATTTAGTGTCTCTAGCATATTTTCTTTCGTTTATAAAATTTCTTTTAAAATATTTAGCTCTAAAAATAAATCTAAGCCATCAATATCAAAAAAAATTTGTATTTTAAGAAATCTAAGCCACCAATATAGGATTACTTTTGTGTTGGTTTAGAGAGAGAGTGTGTTAAAAGTAAGGTAATGATTTGATTTTATGATTTGTTTTTTTAATTTGATGCGACTTTTGAGTTCAAGCTTTTTTTTTTACTATTAATTTTTTTAAAATATTTAATATTTGGATTGGATTATGGGCCTAAATAATTGATTAGACTTATATTTTTATAATAATTTTTTTACATAGATTATTTATAGTATTTAAAAATTTTGGGCCTTCATTTGAAAAAGCTTTTTTAAACATGTTGTTAGGCCAGCCCCAATTCCAAGAGCTTTAAAATGTTGATTTAACATGGGGCATAAGGATTGAACGTAATATTTGCATACATCAAAATATGTCGATGCTTATGACTATATATATATGTGTGGAGGTTGAATATAGAATGGGAATGTAACACATGATAGATTTTATATAAACATGATGGAAATTGGTAAATTTGTTAGGTGTTTTTTGAGTTATATGTTTTAAAATTAGGTTTTATATTGCATTGGAGATATGGTCCAATCAATCTCTTCCTTACAAAACAAAAGAAAAAAAAATTTAGTACAATTTTCTTAAAATTTAAGGTACGTTGACCGCTTAGATTCAATTCATTATAATTTGGCAGAAGAGAAATATAATTTATAATCGTTTCTGCTTGCTAACACAAATATGAACAAAAAAAAAAAAAAAAAAGACATAGTATTGAAAAGTAACTTTTCGATCTCAACCCAAATAAATATTGATCCTAGTATTTTTTACCTTGCATTTACGCTATGAACTTACTGTAGTGTAATGGTTTCACAAATACACAAAACTTAATTACAAGATTGGAAACGAATTACCTCCATGTAGTCAAAAGCTGTAAAGGGTAAGTTTCAAAGTTGTTTGACATAATTTATATGCTAGCATTTTAATTACTCATAAATTGTCTTTTAAAGAAGGAACAGTTTCAAAGACATTATAACAACTTGTCTATAAATAGCCTCACTCCCAAAGCAAGTCTCACTTGCCACCAAAACCACCTACCAAGTACCAAATTCACCAACAATGCCTTCTGCTACCACCATATGTTCAATTGCACTGATTGCATCATGCATCTCAATGTTAGCTGCACCGATCTTTGCCCACGACCTGCCCGGGGGCGGGCTTGGTGGCTTCAGGGGAGGGCCCGGTGGCCCAGGAGGCAGGCTCGGTGGCCTAGGAGGCGGGTTTGGTGGCCAATGGGGCGGGCTCGGGGACCCTTTGGGTGGGCTAGGGAATGGTCAATGCCTAGCATCTCTGAACGGTGTCCATGGGTGTGCCCAAGATGTGTTGGTATCCATCTTGACCCTTCAATTCCGACTAATCGGGCCGGCATGTTGCCAGGCCATCGTCAACATTGATGATAACTGTTGGCCCAAGGTGTTGCCTGTCAGCCCAATATTCCCCCTTATAAACTATTGCACAGAAATTGTTCCCAGGTTTCCACAACCAACACCACCAACAGTGTAATTTCCATCTGCTCTAATGGAAATAAGCCCGTGACGGCCCGGCCTTCGATCTCTTTGATGCATCAGCAAGAAAATTTCAAGAGACAGCAAAAATTACTTCACTAAAAATGAAAAAAAAAAAAAAAAAAGGTTGTCAGATAATTGTAGGAGAGTGTACTTCAGCACTGATATGGAAAATGTACTGGAGTGACTCAATTTTTGTTACGGACAAAATAAATTTTTTTAATCCACCAAATTATGTGTTGTGTTAGTTTGGTCGCAATCTTTTAACTGTGTCAATTTGATCTCTCAAGTATTTAATTTGTGTAATTTTAATACTATTGAAATTTGCGGTTTGAATTAATTAAAGGAGATGGTGACATGCATCCCACGCGAGCACACTTGAGAGATATTCTTTGGAAATATAAGAGACTAAAGGGATACAAATTACCTACACGAAGGACCATAATGACACACATTGAAAACTTGAGAGATCGAAGTAACCCCCTAATGTGTATTGATGTGAGACATGTTGGACCAAAACAATTTTTAAAGTGAAAAAATTGAATTTTTGATCTATTATGAGCCTAAATTAAAGTAGGACGCATTCGTTGTTTCGAATAAAATTTCATGGGTTCATATTTTACTCCGTGAGAAGAATAATGTAGTATATTCACTTGCTCAAATTGAGTAAGAAATGAATGAAAAAATAGACTCCAAAATGACTTTTGTGAAAATAAAAGTTATGCAATGTGAGATTTGACACAAATCCCACGTTAGTAAAAATAGACTCCAAAATGACTTTTGTGGAAATAAAGGTTATGCAATGTGAGATTTACACAAATCCCACATTGGTTGAGGAAGAAATTCAACATGGGCATATATAGGTTAAGTTTACTCCATGGGATTGGGCTCCAAGAGGTACCACAGTTTTATGAGCGGAGTGAGAGCCTACATGCCTTTGGTTCAACCACACACGCGCGTCGCCCGTCCAGTCAGACCAGGCTCGGGTGTACCCTATTTTTTTGGAAAAATTCATTTAATTAATTGGATGAGAATTTTTTAACCCGAAATTTTATTTTCGGTACTTATTGGATCCCACTGATTCGAATTTTTGCTTCACTCTAATATGAAATTTTGACTCCAGTCCGAAATTTTTAAGTGGTGTCTGTTCATGGAGAACAGTTACTCAATGTGTCTACTAGCTATTGTGCCTTGTTTATTCTGAGTTGTGTCTTGTAGTATGGTGACTGTCTAGAAAATCACAAAAGTGTCTATAAATACTCAGTTCATCAGTCAATTAAGACATTAAGACAGTTTGCATTTCGGCATTAAGGCACTGCATTTGAAGAGTATTCAATACAATTTTGATTCGCTAGACGACTAGATTAGAGTGCTACTTTTGCTCGTGTAAAGATCATTGTATCCTGAGTGGTAAACACTCGAAATTCCATAAGCACCGTGTATAGGGGCGAAATCCGTCTTAAGGATGTAGTATCAAATACTAGCTTTAATCTACATCAACTATAATAGCAGTTTATGTTCTGCAACCGGGTTAGTATTTATATAAGTTTAACAAACAGTTACGTGTAACTGTTTGCTGTTACTGTTTCGTTAAACTGCTGTAACTCTTTCATGTTATTCGTTCGTGTAAGGCTATTTCTGTGTAACTGTTTCGTATTTGATTATTACTGTTTTCTTATACATGACATCGTTCAAATCAAAAATTTCTATAAGTGATTTTACATTATTTAGAACCCCGCAAACAACAAGACACATGTGAACAACCCCATTAGTCTACTTAAACCAGCATTTTTCACTTGGATCAAAGTAAAATATATTAAAAACTTAAAGGGCCTAAATTGACAATTGAAAAAGTGAGGACAAGCTCAAAGATGGTTCCCACAATCTCAACATTTTTTAGGGTCTAATAGCTAATCTTTTTCACCATTCAAAGCATGACAAATGTGTTGTGTTCTACATGTTATTATTTCATTTTATTTTATTATTTTCAAGATCAATGATCACAAATAAATCAATACAAAATCTATAACTATGAGTCATGTTATAGTATGATATCCACATTTTTTTAATGAATGTCATAGTTTTATCCTATTTTTGATGATTTCTAATAGATAATAGTGCAAAACATCATGTACATGAAGTAACACATATATCAACCTATAGCAAGCTCTATCCTAAATTAACAAGTTCGAGTTGAGTCTTATTGGCCTAACAATTAGTCGTTATTAAAAAGCTTAAACTAGAACCAGATGATCAGGGGCAAGGGTAGAATTCTATATGAGCGAGAGTAAGATATGAATAAATTTTTTTTGTGGAGTTCAATTACAAGAAATATATTAAAAATTAAGACTAAATTACTAAACGAAACACAAACTACATTTTTGAAGAAATTTTGACATAGAAAAATCAAGAATTAAATTATAGTTGTGTTCTTAAGCAATGCCTTCGTATGTCGAAAAAACCTGAAAGAAGACCCTACAAAAGTAATTTACAAAAGCATTTTCTAAATATTATGGTTAACTTTAAAAAAGAAATTAAGATCCAAAATTGCACCTAGTCATTCATAACTCTTCATTACACTAGCAATGCAACGTAAAATTTTTTGTTGAAATATTTGATAAAATACATAAAAAAAATTTAATTATATAGTTTCATTAGATATTATCTCGTATTTATCATACTTAAATTATTTGTATTCTCTTCATAATTACAAATATCCAATAAACTTATTTTCTATAAATCTTTCATTCAAACTACCAAATAATAAGGGTTATGAATTTTTCTTTTCTCGATTTTTTTTTCTTTTTTTCTTTCTTGTTTTTACTTTGTGCACCAATAATTTTTTACCAAATTATTTTGATTGTGAATGAAGAGATAAGATAGATATATCTAGTTTTAGGCATTGAAGATAATATTGTATCAATAGAGTTGTCAACGTGTATTAATATTAGAATTTTGGATAAAAAAATAATCAGAGAGAAAAAAGTTTATTTTTTTCTTTTCCAAGTTTTTTCTTATTTTGTTCTTTTTAATTTTTGTTTTTTAATATTTGTGGTCAATGATTTTGTATTCAATTATTCACTTTATAACATGATTTTTCTTATTGTACCCACCCTGATGCATCCGTTATATGGCTGGTGAGACTTGACCATTATGCATAATGTTTGGGAATAGACAACTACTTAACTATTCAGACAAAACTTCTCTTAAGTGATAACTGGATATCTACGCAAACTCCCCTATTTTTTTGGATAATCTAATGGTCTTAAAGGTTCCTTAATCTACCCCCTAAGCAGAACTCTAACTGCTTGTATCTTGATGTTCTCATTCATTGACATTGACTGAAACTTTTAACTGACCTAAGAATGCAATAAAACCCCCGAAAAACTGTGGAAAACTACAAGAGAAAAGGAAGGAACAGTTTCAAAGACATTATAGCACCTTGCCTATAAAAAGCCTCACCCCTGCCCTATGTTTCCTCACACCAAGTTCCAAGTCTCACTCAAAGCAGTACCAACACTAATTAGCACCAATACCACCTACCAAATTCACCAAAAATGCCTTCCACCTCGACCATATGCTCAACTGCACTGATTGCCACATGCATCTCAACGTTGGCTGCCCTGAGTATCGCGCATGACCTGCCCGGGGGCAGGTTTGGTGGCAAAGGCGGCGGGCTAGGTGGATTTGGGGTTGGGCCCGGTGGCCAAGCCGACGGGCTCAGTGGCCGAGGAGGATATGGGGTTGGGCCCGGTAGCCAAGCAGGCGGGCTTGGAGGTCTAGAGAATGGTCAGTGCCTAGCATCTCTGAATGGTGTCCAAGGGTGCATCCAAGAGGTCCTGACATCCGTATTGACACTTCAGTTCCGATTGATCGGGCCGGACTGTTGTCAGGCCATCCTTAACATTGATGATAATTGTTGGCCCAAGGTGTTGCCTCTCAGCCCAATATTCCCCCTTAAGAACTATTGCACGCAAATTGTTCCAGGGTTTGCACAACCAGCCCCACCAACAGCATAATGTCCATCTCCCTCAATGGAAATCAGCCGGTGACCGGCTGATCATCGATCTCTCTGTGGTTGTACCTGAAAAGAAATCAGTCTATCTCATATCTGTCTGAAAGAATGACACGTGATTATTTTTATCAAAAACTAACGATCCGTCTGTATAAGAATCATTTAAATAAAAATTAATAAAATTAATATATTGAAAACTAAACTGATAAATAAACGGACTTTAAGGACCAATGTATTAACCCTTATTCGTATTTGAAATTATTTATTGAGATTTGATACCCACAAAAAAAGTCTGTCTCGCAAGGATAATCAATCTAGTCCTTAGTTTTATATGCTTGGGCATCTAGCTAGTTATCTTTACCACCTAAAATAGATTACTCCAACAAGATGTTGCCCACCTAATCCTAATTATGCTTTTCTTTTTTCATACCCTTTCTTTGAGTGTGATATTGTGTGTTGTGTCAGCAAGCATATGTATTTTTCAGCAATAAATTAAAATTTATTATTATACAACATTAATTGATCTAATAGGTTGGTGTGACATTAGTTATCGGTTCGTCATGTTAACATGACACGAATTTGGCTGAAAATTAGCATGTCATGATTCGTTAACACAAATAATAAATAGAAGTTATCTACGATGTAAGAACAAAAAAATTGGTACCATACCAACTTTTATCACATTTATGAGTATTTTTATTGTATTTGTGGGTATTTTTATCACTGTTGTGATACTAAAAACAGTGATAAAAATAGTTATCACAATAGTTATTAAAATACTCACAAAAGAGATATTTTTTTTGTACCAAAGAAAAGTTATAAAAATAGTTACCACAACAGAGATAAAAATATTTATAAAATTTAAAATTTTTGGTAATAAAAAGACCCACAAAGTTGTAAAAATATCCATTAAAGTAGTATAATTTGGAAGTACGTTACCGAGATTTTTTTTTCAATATTGTAATCAAGTCCTAATAAACAAGTTGGAAGATTTTTTTCCATGTTTTGCAAGCAAATTAATTCAGTGGGTTTTTAGCTTATGTGGGATTTATGGGAGGCAGTTTTTTTTTTTTATAAAAAAGGGGTTCTAGTTTCACAGTTATGTATGCCTATCTGAACATGATATGGTTAGAAAACATGACATGTAATTGCTAAGACATCATGCAGGACTAGTTAACTACTTGGGTCATATTTAAATTAGTTAGTACTAAACACGTGTCTCTAAAATTAAACGAACCGATCAAGATATAACAAGATAGGATTCGCACTCAAAAAAAAGGTACAAAATAAAGGGGTTAGTAGCATTGATTATTTGAAGGGTTATCTGTTAGTCAGCCTTCAATGCTTTCATTAGGTTCATTATGTCATGCTTAATAGTGGAGCCGCCTAATCCTGCCAATTCTGAACTTGAACAACAAAAAGGACAAATATTATGTATAACTAGAGGACAGTAAATGGATAATCAATCTAATCATGTGCCTAAGAAATTTAGTAAAACCCTCAATAGAGGAGACCCATTTTGTTTTTCCTTGTGTTTTTTGTTTTTCCACAGAAAAAGTGAACGAGACTTCTCACTTACTCATTCATGGCCAAAGGAATGAAGGTGACTTTACCTTAAGAAAGCATCATAGCCTTTGCAATGGGATAAAGACTAGTGAGAAAGTTTGTGACAAGAAGTGGCCCCACTCTATATATTTATGTACTCTAATTGAAAATTTTAGAGTAAACTATTGTGTTTGTAAATTTAGATGCGAATTCTAACAAAAGTTTTTGCGACTCATCTGTGATTGTGAGTTGATTAAATAAACATACGAAATTGACCCATTACTTGTATGTACAAAGGAATTATTCTATCTAGTTTATAATTTTGTGAAAATATCTCTCCTACAGAAGGACATGATACTTTTATCGATTCGTAAAGAAGGACATGATCTTGCTCATGAAGTTAATGGAATTATCCATGATACTAGCAAATAGAGTCCTAAACTAGTTGTAGGAGTGTTACAGAAAAAGCTAACGCCCTAATCGAATTTATACCGTTGAGTTATTCCTTGCTATGGTGTATAACATTGTGTTAAAAAGGTTTATTCTATTCAATTCGTAATCAAGTGGTATTGAACTTAAGAACCTCTTTGATGGGATTCTTAAACAAGTGTTATTGAACCTAATGAAGTTTAATCTCAAGATATATATTACCTCGAGCAAAATTCTCACGTATTGAACTTGCTCATGCTGCACGTCAAGTTAGTTTCTCAAGTATGGGATTCACTTAAGCACATCACCATATAAAATCTGTCCTAAATTATCCGCATTTGGGGCCCACCTAAGTACGTCTGCATATCGGTCCCGTCAAAACACCTCTTTTTTGTAGGGTTCGTCTCGCCACTACGAGATAACAGAGAAATCTTGACCTATTGGGTCGGGATTGCCATTCAAACTTTGTTTTTCCAAGTTGCTATATCTAAATTAATCTTACATCTAAGGGAAGTTGTATATTGCTTAAAAATTTATGTGCTTTTGTCTCAATTTGTTTGACCTCTCTTGGCAACCCTCTAGCTTTGAAAAGAATGTCAATTGAAATGCAGTTGTTATCTACGACCATCCATCAATATATTAATCAAACAGGGAAAGGCATATTCTACATGAAGATCTTTGCATCAAATGAAGGTGGACAGAAAAAGACAACCACTTTCAAAAGAAACTAAAATATTTTGCATTATGAAAGGTGGATGTTTGTGTTAAGTTTCAAAGAGTGCCATCAGCTTTATGTGAGTGTAACTTGTAGTGAACTAGAGTCATTATGATATCTGCATGTCTTCACATGAGTTCCATCATTGCCCTAATTGAATTCTCATAAAGCAAATTATGTTTTGAACCCTTAAAGTTTATGCATATGATTTTTATTTGGTCCTTAAAAAAACAATTAATAGAATCAATTAAGTCTCGAAATTTTAGTATATATTTCAACTAAGTCTCATCCCACTCCCCCTTTCCATTAAATCACTGACAAAACCTATCTTTCAATTCAACTTAAGTTGGCAATTATAACAGAAAACATCACATTAAAATCACGAACATAAGTCATATGCATAATTTTGACCAAATAAGCACAGGAGTTGAATTTGCTAAAAATCTTTTTTTTTTTTTTTTGTGTAAATGTTCAAAAACTACTACAAATGAGACAAAACATGCATTTTGAAGACACAAACTACACACTTACAATAGTTTGAGTAAAAATTACAGCCCCGACTAGATCATGCGACGTTCACTTGGCGCTTTTTTCATGAGAATTGTCAAGTAAGGTAGACCAGGGACTTGATTGAAGAGCGGCTTAAAATTGTTCCTATTTGATATTTTGAGGAATAAAATGAAATCACTTACAAACTCTAAAGGTGCAAAATATAATTTACCTTATTTTCATCGAATGCTCATGCTTCAACTTGGCATATAGGATGCTTGGCAAACAATTTCTTTTGGTCCGAGAAGTAAAAAAAAAATAAAAAAAGAAAAGAAAACTTCACAATTTTAAAGTACTTCAAACTACAAAAGCTGAGACCCCTCAATGATCAACAATTTATGCTTGGTATAGTGTATTGCATGGGGTATACTAGTCTTTATAATAAAATAGGAAAATTCTAGTAATAAAACACAATAATGGCGCAGATTGCTCACATCTAATAGTTAATCTTATAATTCACTAATCATATTTATTTTTTAACCACGATAAATATTTTAACCACTTTTACACGTTAATCACCCACTTATTTTTTTTTAATTTTGTAATCACAATAAATCGACCTCATATTCGTACATTGCTCAAGTAACCTAGTTAATATGAAACATTTGTTGAATCAAATCACTTTACTCCCTTAAAATTTATCTTTTTAACAATTATCCATCCCACAATCATGATGATTTCAATAAGATGGGGACACTGAAGAATTAGCTAGCAAAGTTGGTTGAGTCTTGTATTGTGGCATCAACAAATATCATACACTAAAATGGATTAGGTATGACCTTCTTGTTCATGCAAAATGTTCAAAGCTTTTCATTCAATTTCTCTCTCTCTTTCTTTCTGCCTCTGTCTTGTTGAATATGGAAAAAAATATTTTTGTAAGTGAATAATGAGGATTTTCCAATTGTATCAAATGTGTTTTTCCAACCATTGAGTAAGGTGGTCTAATTAAGTTCTTTCTTGAGAGGTGTAATAGGCATGGTCAGAAATATTATGATATGATTCTACCAATAAGGGTCTATTGGATGGTTTTTGAGTTCTCTCTTTTATCCCTACCCCTTTTTTGATCAGCAAAAAAAAAATTGTGTTTTCCCGCAATGTCCTTCAACGACAGATGACTCGTTGGACTTGTTTGGTTACCGTATTAAAAATGGATGAATTAGATAAAATAATACAGTTTAATACAATACAGATGTATAAGAAATAATATTAAATATAATATTATAATAATACGTAATTTTATCTGGTGTTTGACAATACACAATATAAGCATTGGATAGTCGTTATTTAATCTAATCGATTATTTGGTTAGAGAATTATTTCATCATATTAATGTTGAATTAACAAAAATACCTTCAATCAGTATTTGTTACATTGATGACAACTTGATTTTATCACTTGGGGGATTATAATAGTAAATTTGTAGAATAATACGTTTGAGTTGGATTATAATACCACCTCTCTTGGTGGTATTAAAAAATATTTATAATACAGATCTATCGTATAAAAAATATACTATAAGTGATTAGTATACGTTTTTAAAATTAATACGGTATCAAATTTGCTTACCAAACAAAGTTTTAGACCCGATTAAATAAAAAATAATACAATAAAATATTTATTCCCTTCATAATACGATTACCAAACGAACCTGTATTGAAGGAATACTTACTTATATATAGTAAGTCCTGAAAAAAATATATTAAACGAAATATAAGTCCGAATCTCTCACATAATGCTGCCTTTTGACTCCCTTGAACTTGTGGATTGCTATGAACTCTCCCAACAGTTCTTAGGAGCAGAACCAAGGGGCATTCCATCTCACTTGCATAGAATGCTCTAGATCATAAGTCCATGTAATAACCCAAGGCCATGCCTCAAAATAAGAGGAGCTCATGAAGTCACAAGAAGAGGGAGTAATTTCACTGTGAAGGTCGTATATATATAATTCGTTATTGTTGAAACAAAGAAATTGGATCTATTTCGGTATGTTTGTTCTCAATTCCATTCGATCGTAAATCAACAGTTCTTAATCTAGTGGGCAAGTTACCATATAAAAAAATTGAAGTAAAATATGTTAAATGGATCTAGATCATTGTCCAAGTCAGATTTTTGTAATTTTTATTTTTTTGGTTTGGCCCAGACAAAAGGGTTTTTTCCCTCATATTGATAGGTGTCTCGTTTAAACTCTAACGTATAGTTCAAGTGGTAATATAAATAAATTATATATTCAGACATATTGAATTTTAATTTTGGCAATCCTTTGACCCTAATTTCGGCGTAAATGATTGACTTTTAACTAGATTGAAAATAATTTTTTTTTTTGGAGAGAAGATTAGTTGAAGTGTATATAAACTAATTCAACCATCTATAATCATTAAACAAAAAAGATAGGTGTCTCGTTTAAGGATTTGTGGCATATCATTGGTGTAGTGGGTAACAAAAAGGCATTAGTTCCCGATTAGGTGGTGGGTTTGACTAAACAGAATTCCACCAAACAGGAGTTCTTGTTTTCAAACAGAAATGAATTTGGTAGTTCTCTTTTGGGTAGAAACTCACCTGATCCCCTAAATTTAAGGTATCAGAGAGATTGCTTGAGGTGAGATCTTATCAGTTGCAACTAAAAAACATAGCAATTCATGGACCCTATGATGAAAGGAAAAGATACTTACCCTACACCCAATAGGGTGTAATGTTTTTCTTCATAATTTTATTTCACTTATTCCGTACATATTTTATAGTTCAATGATCAAGAGTGTCCGGGTGTATTTAATTTTTTTTCAGCCTATCGTTGGTTTCATTAAAGCTTAATTTGGACTCACTTTTCTAATATAAAAACATATTCTATTGAAAACATATATGTAGTGTGTAATTATGAAATGAACATTAAAGCATAAAATAAGTTCAAAAATTATTATAGATAAAGATGAATCAACACTATTTTGGGAAAAGATTCAACAAACCTATGCATGACTACCATTGCTTTCTAAGTTGCACAACATCTTCATTACTATGACATCTAAATATCTTTTCAACCACATAATTTTTAGACACGTGAGTACCACTTAAATACAAATTGTACTAAATCATCTAAAAGATAAGTGTATACATGTAAGCGGGCATCTCTTGTAAGACTTTGATGAAGTAAACCAGGAGATTAAAAAATCTAAATTCGGTTCCAAAGCTAAACTCATACATTTGGCAGTATGTTTAACCATTTTGCAGAAAATGTGCAGTAACTGGGTGAGCCCATCTCTTTTTTCTCTCTCATCTTTTGTTTTCCAATGGGAAAAAACTTTAATTGCACCTTCAATTCCACCGAATCCTTTGTTTAATGGGATGAAGAAAGAAGATAAACGAGCTAACCAGCATTATGTTCACTGACTCAACCCCTATCCAAGAATCAGTGGGCCCCAGTTTCACACGCTGCAGCACAGTACTTATCTTTTTCTCTTCTGTTCAGCAATCTTTTTACTCGCCCCTGAAGCAAAGCATGAAAGTGGCCCACTGCCAACAGCCTTTACATTATTCAACCTTTCAAAATGTTCCAAACCCAAATCTGATGTTGTTTTCTTACTTCGAAAAAACACAAAGCTAGTCCTACCTGTTGATTTTGAAAACACATTTATGACCGATTTCATCGTATCTATAGCTTTCCTTTTTTGCCCTTCTATTACTATATAGTATAAAACTCTCTTGTAGCCTCCAATGCCAACTTTTATAGCTACCCAACTGATTCACTTCAAATGGGTTCACACCCCTTTTAGAGGGTTATAAACATAGATCTTGAACATTACTTTCAAGTTTCAAGATGGGTTCTTTGGTTTTGCAGATGGGTTTGTGTATTTGGGTGGGGGTTTTTTGTTTCAGCTTCATTTCTGTGAATTTTCATGCTGTAGGAGAGAAAATAACTGTTCAAGGGACTGTTTTAGTTGATGGGAAGAGTGCCATTGGGAGGATAGATAGTCATTTCATCTGTGCCACCTTGGATTGGTGGCCACCTGAGAAGTGTGACTATGGGACTTGTAGCTGGGACCATGCTTCTCTTCTCAATCTGGTATATTTGCCTCTCTCTCTCTCTCTCTCCTTGTATGTCTGTGAAGGTAATGTAAGATGGTTTAATGGCTGCAATTTTATGAAGTTCCTTATAAGGGTGCTGCTGTACTAATGTCCTCTGTTCCGGGGCAATTGCTGTTTTTTAATCTGAATGTGAAATGAATGATATGCGCACCCGCGTATATTTATGTATTTATTAATATTCTCTGCTTTAGATTTTACTCTCTCAGAATTTATTAAGAGAGAATCTGGTTTTTTGTTGTTTGTATAGTGTTGAAATGTTTGTGATCTCACAAAATTTTTTAAGGAATTTTATTATTTGCCATTTTAAGGAATTTCAATGTTTCTATTCTAGTTTTGGCAGGTAAATTACATGTAAATGTATGCCATAGATGATTTTAATTCTAGATTAAATGAATGATCTGGATATGTTCGATCTTTCAATTTTGCAGGATATTAGCAATAACATTTTTTTGAATGCCATTAAAGGTATGAATTCTTTTAGAACATCTATAGATGAATTATGGATTTCTTAATTTACTTCTTCTGAATAATCATACACTTTCTTTTTTTTTTTATAACTTTTTTTTCCCTCTATTTACTGGGAAATTTTCAGCTTTTTCACCATTGAAAATAAGATTGGGTGGCACTTTGCAAGATAAGGTCATCTATCAAACTGAAGATCATCAGCAACCCTGCAAGTCATTTGTATATAACGCCTCAGAAATGTTTAGTTTCACTCAGGGGTGCCTACCCTTGTCCAGATGGGATGAACTAAACGCCTTCTTCAATAAATCTGGGTAAAAGAATATCAAATTAATGGTTTCATTGAACTTCGTATGCTAAAAAAATATGCCACAAGTTGAAGAACTTACAGCCCCTTCTTTCAATTCAGGGCTGCCATTATTTTTGGATTAAATGCTCTCAACGGAAGATCTATAAAGTCTGATGGTTCTGCTGTTGGAGCTTGGGACTCCAAAAATGCTGAATCTCTCATTCGTTATACTGTCAAAAAGGGATTCACGATCCATGGTTGGGAGCTCGGTAAGAACACCACCCTCCATATGTTTTGCCAATGCAGCCTGCTTATTTATACAGTATCTATTCGGAGAATTTATAAATATGTTGTGATGATGATGACGAGAGCTTTGAACGATTCATCAACTAGAGCACGTAGGTTACACATTTGATGTATCAAAATGTGTCAGGAAACGAATTGAGTGGAAGTGGAGTTGGAGCGAGGGTTGCAGCCAATCAATATGCTTCCGACACAATCACTCTCCATAACATGGTCCAAGATATTTACAAGGGTGTTGAAGCGAAGCCATTAATCATTGCACCAGGAGGATTCTTCGATGCAAACTGGTTCAAAGAATACCTTACCAAAACAACCAATTCACTCGATGTGGCCACCCACCACATATATAATCTTGGTCCAGGTAGTTTAGACACAAAACTGAACATGTGCAAAGTCCCTAAGCCTTATACTTAAATGTTATATATGACATATTTTATTCCCTCATTTAGGTGTTGATAAGCACCTTATCGAAAAGATCCTTGATCCATCTTATCTTGATGACGAGGCTGCTACATTTAGCAAACTCCAGAGCGCCATCAAGAGCTCTGCAAATCCAGCAACTGCATGGGTTGGCGAGGCAGGAGGGGCATACAACAGTGGCCGAGATGGTGTAACCAATGCCTTTGTGTTTAGTTTCTGGTAATCCAGCTATCACTTCTACTAAATGTTTTCCTGTTTCTTTAGTTAGTTTCTCATATAGTGATTTTTAAACAAACAGGTTTTTGGATCAGCTTGGAATGTCGTCCACTTATGATACCAAGACCTATTGCAGACAGACATTGATTGGTGGAAACTATGGTTTACTCAACACTACAACCTTTGTACCAAATCCAGATTACTACAGGTTATTGGAATCTACATTAGGGAGTGTTTGTGTTTTGATACAGGAGAATCCCAATGTAAAAACTTGGATGCAGAAATTCGGCTGATACTCTGTTCGCTTTCTTGTAGTGCTCTTCTTTGGCATCAATTAATGGGAAGGAATGTTCTCTCAACAAGCTTTTCTGCGACAAAAAAAATACGGGCTTATTCTCACTGTGCAAAACAATCTGTAAGTTCAATTCAGACTCTAATTATCTAGAAAAATGTGGGTAATCGATTATCTAATTAGAATCTCTCCGTTGCAGCAAGGACTCACAGTTCTACTGATCAACTTAGATGGTAACACCACTGTTCAGGCCACAGTTACATCTAATAGCACTTGGATACGGAGACACAGACACAGATCTCATGGCCATCGAAAAAAGGTTATCCGGTTGCCTAGAGAAAGTAAAATAAGCGCAACAACAAGAGAGGAATACCATCTGACAGCAATGGATGGGGATTTACACAGCCAAACTATGCTGCTAAATGGGAACATACTAGCTTTAAATTCTTCAGGGGACATACCTCCGTTGGACCCTATATATGTAAACTCATCGGAGCCTATTACAGTTGCTCCTTTCTCTATTGTGTTTGTTCACCTGCCAAATGTTGTTCTCCCTGCTTGCAAGTAGGCGGGAACGACGACAGCGGAGCTAAAACTGGCTCCATTTTGGGGATTGATCACATCATATTTTATATAGAATACAATGCAATTTTTTTTAATTCTTGTTGCCTGACAAAGAATGAGGAACTGCAAATTCCATCTGCAATGTACAATAAAAAATCTTACCGTATCTAGCAGTGTTTTAAAAACCGGCTTGGCCCGGCGGGTTGAACCGGTGAACTGGAGAACCGGAGCCTAAACCGGGCCTGTCCTCATTTTAGATCATTCAGGTACTAAAACCAGAAGAAACCCACTGAATCGCCCGGTTCCTATCAAGACCATTCAACCCGGGTGGATTTCAGTAAACCGGTCGGATTAATTCAAATCATATAAAAATTTAGGTTTTGGGGCTTTTTGGTATTTTGCCCTAAATCTTGCGCCTTTCCCTCTGCTCCGAGTCTCTTGACTCTTCCGAACGAGTCTCAGATTACCCTCAGCCTCTCTCTCTCTCTCTCTCTGTGCGCTGCGAGTAATCGAAGGAAGGAAAGGCCGACAGGGGCTCACTTGTCGGAGCTTCATCGACGATTTGCTTCAGGGCATTACTCCTCATTCTCTGCCTATTTCCTTGCCTCAAGTGAGAGTGTGAGACACAACACACTCACAACAGCAGGTACATCATCTATCCCTATCCCTCTCTCTCTCTCTCTATTTTGACTTGCTTAGTTGCTTGAATATTGAATTGTTGATACCGTAATAGCAGATTGTTTGATTACATTATTTTGCTTATGGTTGCTTGTTGATAATTTTGTGATTTTTTTAGTTTTAATAATAATAATAATAATAATAATTTTTTATTTTTTAATTATATTATCAATTCGACTAATCACCTGAACCATTGATCCACTGATTCGGTTTAACCAGTGAACGGTTGAAGCATTAACACGAGATAGTATCTAGTGTGCTATAATTTATTTGTGAAGATGCTGCAATTAAAACAGTTCTTTCTGGTCAGCAGATAAGTGATCACCATTCCAATTTCATATTTTTCATTGAAATATCATTTTCACATTTGCTTATTCCTCAATTAGTTTTAATCTATTTGAAAATAAAAAATGATAATGATGGTCACTACATGTACATGGTCTTTATGATATTTGAGAAATTACTTAATCCATCATATTTTGTCAAACATGTATGCAATAGTCTCACAAGCTTTCTAAAATTTGATGTATTTTCAGACAGTGCTAGTTTAGATTTATTATTTGTCAGGGAGAAAGACGATGAAGTCCGAATCCGAGAGTGATGGTCATTAGATTAACTACTAACCTCTTAAATTTTCTTTTCAAAATAGAAATTTGAAGACAAGTTTCATTTAAAAAAAACACAAACCAATACTCCAATTCAAGCACAATTTCCTAATATAAACAGTTGCTTATCAAACGCTATATACCAATCACCATCAACTGATATTGACGAAATTTTATTAAAAAAAAATTTTAGCCACACTCTCTTTCTAATTTATTATATCTTCAGACTCTCTTTCTAATATAAAAAATATCACTGATAATAACCAAGGACTCTCTTTCTAATATAAAAAATATCACTCACACCTCTTGTCATTAAACCAATATTTCTAACAAAAAAAGAAAAAAATCATCTAAAATATCAAAAATGCCCCTATATAAACCCCAAACAATTTTTTAACATAAAATTCAATTAAAAATAGACCTGATTAAAATTTATTTTTTTACACATTAAAATTAGAGTTGATTAAAATTTATTTTTCTACATATTAAAATTTGAGCCCATTAGAATTCAATTCGAGCTGATTAAATTTTTTTTTTTAACATATTAAAATTCAAGACTATTAAAATTCTTTTTTTACGTATTAAAATTCAAATCTATTTGAGCTCTATCAAAGTTGTTAGCGTTGATTAATACTCGCTTTGAGTCGATTAAAATTTGTATTTTTTTTATTTATTAAAATTCGTGTCAATTAAAATTTAATTCATTAAAATTTGAGTCGATTAAAATTTATATTTTTTTTGTATTAAAATTTGGGCCGATCAAAATTCAATTGATTAAAATTTGATTTAAGTTGATCAAAAATGATTTTTAATTGGCTCAAACATAATTTTAATCGATTCAAATTTTAATACAAAAATAAAATAAAATTTTAATTAGCTTGAATCGAATTTTAATCGGCCCGATTTTTAATACGTAAAAATATTTAGAAAATATAGTGAGTCTCATCGAAGATATGCTTATCTAGAAAGGGTGTGGATAAAGTTTGTCCTTAAATATGTCAGGGATAATTTAGTAAAATTGCATTCTAGTTAATTTTTTTAATCTCACAAGGGATGCAATGAAGATTCAAAAAATAGAGCCCAGTCTTTGAAGATACGGTAGACGGTAAACTAGAAGGAATGTGATTAAAAATTTTCTTTTTATTATTATCAAAAGAATATATTACTAAAATTTTAATACAAAATTTAATTAATGTTTTTACCTAAAAAATAAATAAATGATCTTGAAATATTATATTTTAATTTTTTAGTAATGCCACTATATTTTAATAGAGTCAATCAATTTTTTGTCATTATTTTTAGAGTAATGCTACATGAATTTAAAAATTAAACTTAATAATAATAGGTAATAGATGCTAATAAATATTAAAACTCACAATAAAATTAATTATTATAATTACTAAATCTAATTTTTAAAAATAGATATACACATAGTCCAAGTAAAGTGTATTGGGTTACCTTAGAGAGAGTCTTTAGGTATCTTAAATGAACCTTAAACTACTATTTATGTTATAGTGGATTTTCTAGTGTAGTCGAGGACTTTAGTAATGCAACTTAGATCACCGATAGTTTAGATATAAAATCCATTACTGGCTATGTCTTTCTGTTAGAAGGAGCAACCATATATTGGGAATCTAAAAAACAAACTCTGATATCAAGAAGTACTATGGAGTCGAAACTTATAACCTTAGATACCACGTGTGCCGAGGCTGAGTGGATAAAGAATTTATTATAAAGATACCTCTAGTGGAAAAACTCATACCTGTCATTTCATTACACTGTGATAGTAAAACAGTGATTGAGCTTGTGAGGTAAAATCATAATAATAAAAAGATGAATAGACATATACAAGTGAGAAATAAATCAATAAAGAAAATGCTGAGTAAAAGCATAATCTCACTAGACTTTGTGAAGTCTAAATTTAATGTCTCAAAACTGTCGAGAGGTAACCCAACTTCTGTGTTTGGAGACCCCATGAAAAAAGTTCAATGGGTAGAAACAATCCATACTGCGTGACTCATTAGCACTATTATTTAGGAAATATCCAAGATGAGATATTTTCCAGCTCATTCCTATGGCAAAAATGCATATGTAGTGTGACGATAAGGAAGAGTTTTATCCTGAATAAGACTGAGGCAAGAACACTCCTGCAGGATATTACGCACATGTACCCTTGGAGAGCTCACCGAACTGAGAGTAGTCGTGAGGCCGCGACTATGAGAATTGAGTTATTCTCTAGAAATTCTCATGAGAATCAAGATCAAGTGCAAGACCATTAATAGCATTGACCCACGAATTTTGACCAATGTCGGTACTGTGTGTGTGATATGTTGAACTCTGGTTCAAAGGATCTAATTCAAGTCTTTGGTTATTATGATCCTTCAGAGGAAAATTGTTAACACTAATTGAGGTTCAAGTTCGTAAGACACCTATATCAATTGCACAGTATAATAGTTGCCCATATTTTTTATATTAAAGTATATACAAAATATTTGAAATACTTTGAAGTTTCAAAAACTTGTGGGGGATTGTAAGAATAAAATTAAGTTTTTAAAACTTTTATTGAATTTCCATTTTTATTATGATTTAATTGTGAATTTCAGTTGCAAATTTTTTGGTCCTATTTAGTGTATATATTCAAGAATAATAATTATTGAATTTAAAATTGATTTTATGGCCATTCAAGAACGAACAGTAAAACACATTGCAAAGTCAGGTTATACATTTGAAGCCCAATGGTCAAAAAGAGGGAAAAAAAAACCATCGAAAGACGTTAAAAGCCATCATGTGTACGTTAACACACAAGTGACTGTATATATGGTTTTGAGATATCTTTTGGCTGCAAGGGAAATCCACTCTACGGACCTTTCGTCAATCGTTTATTTTAATATTTGACATACTTTTTCAATTTTTATCTATTATTTTATTTTTGGACAACTCGATTCGAGTCAAGTTCATTTCAACCTCCCAGTGTACGTGATCATTGAGAGGGTGCCGCTGCGAGCGTCTGAATTGGATCTTGGAGTCGCCGGTGTCTGTCAGTACTCTCACATGAGGAGGCTCAACTGCTTTAGGACAGTAATCACACGCCTTTCGAACTCGTAGACCAGCTCATTCCAAATTAATTTATTTATTTTATATAAATTGCATCTTTATACATTTTCTGTATTTATTTAAATTGTATGTTATATGATCTAACTATTGTTTGTATGCTTTATTTCGAATTTTAGATTACAACACTCATAATTATATTGCTCACATCATAATTCTAATATTTGTTGATTTGTTCTAATTATAAATCTATAGTTAAAATATATAATTATTTTTACAATTTTCACACACTTATAATAGAGTACTAATCTACATATCAATGTTGCCAAATAGTTCATCGTCTCTTAAGAAAAAATGTCTGCCTCTGTAGTTCTTCAATTACATATTGTTAGTGATAGAACAGCGTTAGTGCTGACATGACATCTTAAGGGGAAGAGAATAAAAACTCGTCTCGGGTTTGAAATTCTAAAAAAGAAATAAATCTCCAAGACACTTTGGTGCCTATGATCAACTGTATGCATAGGGGAGCACTCAATTGAGTGAATTCGATGAAAACCTATGTAATGTTAAGTATAATGCGCGTACCTCTGCAGGGAAAATTTACTTGAATACACCAAGAACTTACAACAGATAATCGAGGACCTTTTCAAGGCCATGGCAAGATCATTAAACTTGGAGGAGAACTGCTTCTTGAACCAATACGGAGACCGAGCAATTATGCTTCAAAGATTCAACTTGTACCCCCGGTGTCCAAGGCCTGACCTTGCTCTCGGCCTAAAACCTCATGCAGATGGATCAGCAATTACAATTGTGTTGCAAGACAAAGAAGTTGAAGGTCTTCAATTCCAGAAAGATGATCAGTGGCTTAGAGTTCCCATCATGCCTCATGCTCTACTCATAAATGTTGGTGATCAAGTTGAGGTAACAAGCCTATTCTTATAAACTTTGCTCCAGATTAGACCAATGTAACTAATTCAGAACAAAATCAAAGTTAAGGAACTATATTATACCTGCAGATAATGAGTAATGGAATTTTCAAGAGCCCAGTGCATAGGGTGCTGACAAATTCAGAAAGGGACAGGATCACTGTGGCTATGTTCTGTGCTCCAGAATCTGGAAAGGAGGTTGAGCCAGTGGAGGAGCTCATTGATGACAAGAGGCCAAGATTATACAAGAAAGTGAAAAATTATGTTGAAACTTATTTCCAGTACTACCAGCAAGGGAAAAGACCAATTGATGCAGTGAAGGTTTAGATTTCTAGAACTATTTTCATCTCTTGTTATTTGTAAGTGTTATGTTGGGTTTGTGTTGACAAATTCCATGGCCAAAACTTATATTGCCTCGTGTTCGAGATTAAAAAATATGTGGCAACTCTCATGGTAGTTTTCTTGGTGTAATTTTTTTTATGCTCTTTTAAATCTTTTAAAGTATTTAAGAAATTAATAAATTATGAATTTGGGACCAACTTGCAGTGGAGGTATAGAGGGTCATAGCAGTCCAACGAGAGAGAGATAAATTTTTAATTTATAAAATCAATTATTTTTTGGATACCGTACAAAATAAATCGTAGGAATCTGGCCCACGCGCCGCCTCTTTATTTTTTCGGTTTAACTTTATTTAGACCAAACAAGTCCATTTTTGCGTCCATCATATACTTATCGTCGGACTTAGGCAAAAATAATAAAAATGTATATGTATATAATATTACAGCTAAGAACTTAAAATTTTAATTTATAAAAACATAATAATGATCAAGATTTTAATTCAATATTATATCCAGTTCAAAAAAAAATCAATATTATAAAATTTATCCCAAGATTTTTTTTCTCACCAAAAAATGTCATATTATTTGCATAAATCTCAATATCTTAATCATTGATTAACTTTTATGACAGACATTAGAGTTTTTGCTAAACACCTTGATATTAGCTTCTTATACAAGCCAAGAGTTCTAAATAGGACTCACTGGGTGGCAACATCGGTTTTATCTGATTCAATTGCTGTGAATTGGGTCAGCTGTCCCCGGCTTGAGTTTATGACTTTGCTCTCGTCTGATTGTAACCAAAATTTTCTTATTTGAATAAATTTTTCCGTCTGTTGCAGCTCAAAAAAAAAAAAAATCATTGATTAACAAACTCTTTAATGTCAATCAATTTTATAAATGATTCGTTTAGTAGAAATGATAGAAAGTAGAAGTGATACATTTTTTCTTTCATTTGTTTTTGGTTGGATGGATGGAAAATAAAAAATAATTTTTTTTTGTGTTTAGTGGAAAAAATATTTTATTTTATTTTTTTATTTTTATTTTTTAAAAAACATATAAATATATATTTTATCATTGTAGTTATATATATATATATATAAAGATATACTTTTTATCATTGAAGGAAGGAAAGTAAAAGTAATACACTTTCTTTTCTTTGTATTTGGTTGGATGGATGAAAAATAAAAATAACTAATTTTTTTTTTTTGGAATAGCTAAGATTTGGGGTGACAATTCAGTTGTGTCGTGTCAGATTCATGTTGAGTTATTACGAGTTTGTGTCGAACATTAATTAAATCTAACTCAACTCATTTAATTAATTATGTCATGCCGAGTTACGAGTTGATTTGTTTGTTTTCGTATCGTATTCATATTTGTATTCGTGTAGATTTATTTTTAATTAAAAAATAAATTCGGATTTTTAATTAATGGAAAAAATATATTTTTTTAATTTAAAATTTTTGTTTTTATTTTTATTTTTAATTTTTTTTAAAAAATATATAAATACATATTTTATCATTTTTTTTATATGAAATTAATGTATACATAATCTAAGTATATATCAAAAGATATATAAGCAAATAAGATACATCTCAACACAAATAATTAAATTTTTATCAACTTTATTTCCGATTTTGGAGGGATTGATTTTGACTAGTTGGAAAAAAAATTAATCCATCCACTTTTTCATCCTTCCTATTTTTCTTCCTTACCAAAATATGATGTTTTATTTATCCTTTTAACTTTTCATCCTTTAAACTTTCTATTCTTTTATTTTTTTTATCATATCAAACGGAGCATTAAATTTTTTTTATTTGGAGCTAAATATTGACACTATTTATGGGCTCAATATCACGATTATCAAATAAATAATCAGTTCAATAAATATTGAGATATACAATTAAGATTAATGTTATTGAGATCTAAAAATTTAACTTAATTTGTTGATCTAATTAACTATAATTTTTGAATTGATTATAGACTTCATCAAATATTAAAATTTAATATTAATTCAATAATTTATATTAAACCACGTCATTATCTCGTTAACAAATTAGATCTAGATTCAAATATCATTACTCTACGATTAAATCAACGACAAATGTTATCAAGTAGCATTGCTCTTGCCCATATGTTCATCGTCGGCCAGCCTCAAACCTTTGACTTGACATTGTTAATCACCGGTCCACCAACCTTCACATCACTAGCCATCACCGGCGACGACATGGCAGGAACTTCCCCACGTACCAAAGCAGAACTAGGGTGCACATCAGTCCAAGAACTGGTCATCACCGGCGATGACCTACCGGAACGGTACATCTATAAAGACAGCGACTATGGAGTCATGGATGCCTCCCTTCCACTGATGAATATGCCGATTATTGATATCGGGCGTCTCAAATCTTCATCGCCCACCGGAGAAGAAGAACTTGAAAATCTGCGATCAGCTCTCAGCTCATGGGGTTGCTTCCAGGTCTGGTTTTTCAGCTTCTCTCCATTAACTTGCTTTACAGACACCGTGGAACCCAAGATTCGTACATAGTTTGATTGGTAAAAAAAAAAAATGTGTCTTTTGCCTGTAAATGATCATTTGAGCAACCAAATTGTAGAAGCCTAGTTGACTAGTTCTGAAGCTAAGTAGGGTAGATCAAGGAAAAACTTGTTTACAGAAATAGATAGCCAAAGCTTATAGAAAGCTACCAACTCACTATTTCTTGTATAAGTAATAGGAAAATAAACTGCAACCCAACTGTTTGAGATAGGTCTGTGTGGGAAGCTCTTGAGTTAAAACTAAAAGGTAATTCCATGTGCAAACAAACATGAGTTTTACAGATATTTGGATAGAGAAAATATGGAACTTGAGGAATTTTTTACCTTGCTTATGAAATTATTAATATTGTTCATCCAAATGGTTTTTTTTTTTTTTTTTAAATTTTCAACCTTGCATAGTATGGTTAGTCACCTTTGGTTTTGCTCAAGAGAACCAAAAGGTCAATGGTCAATCCTTGTTAAAAGTAGGGGTTATATAGTGCTATTGTTAGAGCTTCTTGTCGATCCCCATTCCTATAGATGCTGCACGGGCATGGTCCTGCAATAGATTGAGATAGCCTTGGCACCGTGAGCGTGAAATAATTCCTTATTCCTTAAACATAAAAAGAGTCCAAAAAAGGGCCGGATGAACACCCAACTTATACCCTCCAAGACTTAAGTCAGTCAGTCAGAAATGAAAAGAGTTAAAAAGGGGCCGATGAACATCCGTGCAGATGCATTATTCAATAGTTATAATTGTTGATTATTCGTTGATTACTATAGAGAAAAAAAAAGATGGATTTCTCATATCAATTGATTGGTGCTTCTTTTGGTCCTCGAGCTCTGAGAATTAGTTTTTGAGTTTCAGGCAATAAATCACGGAATAGAAAGTTCTTTCCTTGACAAAGTGCGAGATGTTACCAAACAATTGCTTGAACTTCCAATGGAAGAGAAGCAAAGATACTCCAGAGCACCTGATGACATTGAAGGGTATGGGAATGACATGGTTCTTTCAGATAATCAAACTCTCGATTGGACCGATCGGTTGTTTCTTACAGTAAATCCTGAAGATCAGAGAAAGCTCAACTATTGGCCTCAAAATCCTGAAGTTTTTAGGTAATTTTTTCATTCCAACTGTGACAGAGAACTCATAATCTAGATATCAACAATGCTGCCTAGTAGTTTATTAGCTTTTTTGGAAAAAAATGCCACAGATATCTGGTTCCCCGTTAATTTTGAAAGTGACATAACTGGTTTAGTGTTGACATGACATTTTTAGGGTGAAAAATGAGGCAGGGTTGAAAAAACATGCAATAAAAGAAATGCTTTGGTTCTTCAAACTATATTGAGATCACCATGAACTCAATTGATTTGAATTGGTGATCAGAAACTGTATGAGGTTAACTTATACATAATGTGCATACCTCTGCAGAGAAACTATGCATGAACATGCCACCAATTTACGACTGATAGCAGAGGACCTCCTCAAGGCCATGGCAAGGTCACTAAACTTGGAGGAGAACTGTTTCTTGAATCAATACGGAGATGCAGCAATTATGCAGCTAAGATTCAACTTCTACCCTCGGTGTCCGAGGCCTGACCTTGTTCTCGGCCTAAAACCTCATGCAGATGGATCAGCAATTACAATTGTCTTGCAAGACATAGAAGTTGAAGGGCTTCAATTCCTGAAAGATGACCAGTGGGGGAGGGTTCCTATAATGCCTCATGCACTTCTCATAAATGTTGGCGATCAAATAGAGGTAACAAGCATTAGCTCATAATACATTTTGCTTCAGATTAGAAGAAAACTGTGGCCATTCACCACATAGTTAAGCAACTAATTCAGAACAAAGTTAAAAAGTTTTTGCTGTTAAAATCACTTTGTTTGTCCACTGTTTGAAAGTCAATCAGTCATTAGTAGTAGGGATGGAAATTCAATCAGGTTGTGTTGTGTTTGAATTGTGTCAATTGGGTTCGTGTCAAGTAATAGTTGCTGTCGTGCCTGGGGATCGACACTCATAACCTGTGAAAACACAGTACCAGAATCGCATTTTCTCTCAACAAAATCACCATAGGTCCCCCATAAACTATCTAGATGGTAACAAGACCAGTAAAAAAATCTTCTAGTTCTACAAGTATTTGAAAAAGACAATATTAAGAAAAGGAAATAATAAAAAATGAGATATTTTCTTCATATAATACCAATTTAGGGATTTCATTTAGAACATAGATTATTTTGTTCAACTCTAATTCAACTTGAATATTATTTTCTCGAGTTCGTGTCAATAGTTAGTTAATCCTAATCTGCTAATTTCGTTCTTTATCACCGTGTAAATTGTGGGTTGCAAGATTATAGTACGGATGAACAACTCAGATTAGATTCTTTGATTGGCTATATGATACCTGCAGATAATGAGTAATGGAATTTTCAAGAGCCCAGTGCACAGGGTTGTGACCAACTCAAAGAGGGAGAGAATCAGCCTGGCTATTTTCTGTAGTCCAGAATCAGGAAAGGAGGTTGAACCAGTGGAGGGGCTCATTGATGACAAGAGGCCAAGATTATACAAGAAAGTAAAAAACTATGTTGACACTTATTTCCAGTACTACCAGCAGGGCAAAAGACCAATTGATGCAGTGAAAGTATAGGTGTATGTTTGGTTAGTTTCTGTAAAACAGTTTTTTGTTCTCAAAATTTTAAAAACACCCAAAATCTGTTTATTTAGCGTTTTTATTCTCTAAATTTTGGGAAAAAATGAGATTTGAGTCAAAGAAACAGAAAACAAATGTAATTTATTTTCAGATTTTTTTTGAAAATTTTGAAAACAAGGAAAACAATTTTGAATGTTCAGATATGGGGTATATATATATAATGAAATTGTCAATATAAAAATAGTTTTTTTATATTTTTTATTAATGTTTGAATTACTGTTCAAATATATATTTAGGCTGTCTAAACAGGTTTTATTATTTTCTGTATTATAAAATTATTTTTGAAATCATCTAACTAAACAAGTTTTTTATCTCAAAAATATGAAACTATTTTCTTAAAACTCTTCTCAAAAACTGTTTTCGGATACTATTTTTTGAAAACGCAAACCAAACAGGCCCTAGATTTTTAGAAATATTTTCATCTCTTGCTATTTGTTGGTGTTATGTCGGGTTTGTGTTACCAAATTTCGTAACCAAAACATATATCGAGTTGTAAAATGTTCTTGAGATGTAAAATAGGTGTGCCACTTCACCTACCAATTTTTTTTTCCATGAGAGGAATCCTTCTAACTACACACTTTTTGGACTCATGGTTGCCACTTTCTCTAGCAATTACGCACAATAATTTTTTGACATTTTATCGAAATTCGTCATTTGATAGAACAGATTCAGTATTGATTCAAAAAACTCGACTTGAGCCAAATCTTGAGCTATAATAATGAAAATTGTCATCCAACATCATTTTGGTTCAGTATTTTTGGAATGGTAGTCAAACCCAAAGTTATTAATCAATGTCCCACATACTGAACTTCAATAATAATTTTAGGGAGAGAGAGAGAGAGAGAGAGAGAGAGAGCTCCTTTGACTTGAAAATGCACACTAATCCACTTATGCTTCTATCATGTGCCTATCCTTTGGTAAAACCCAAAATTCATTAGATTCAAACACCTCAATCTACGTTTCATTTCTCTCTCCTAAACCCAAATTTTAACAGCTTTCTTTTGGCATAGACATGGCTGCAACTACCCTTCCTTCCATGGTAGAAGTAGAATCACCATCCAAGCCTGTCCAAGAACTAGCCAAAAACAGCAGAAATGAATTTCCAGAAAGATATATCTACAAAGGGGAAATATCGATCTCTCTCTTCCTGTGTTGGATGTTCCAGTTGTCGACCTTAGCCTCCTCTCATCTTCATCACCCGCCGGAGAAGAACAACTCATAAAACTCAACTCAGCCCTCAACTTTTGCGGTTGCTTTCAGGTATATCAATTTGCATACTGGGTTATATATATGCCATTTCTATCTATTCACTAACAGATTTTTAGATCATTTAAACTTCTATTGTTCGATCTTGTAGATGACTATACTGATTCTAAGAGAGTTTTATTGATAAATTAATTACTATGGGATAGATTATAAAGTTTTAATTTTTAAAAATTTACTAAGAAATTAAGCTCAATTTCTACTTGGGTTCGATTGGAATGGTCGTGAGCTTCTACTGAGCAAAGCTTGAGCAAGAATCTAAACTCGACAATTGAGCTCTGGTCAACCTGGAGCTTGGCGAGTGAAAACTTAAGACCCTAGATTCTAAATGCAAATTCTGAATCTAGTCCCTCAGATAAGACCAGGACAGTGTTCTTACATGATTTGTACAATTTCAGGCTATAAATCATGGAATGACAAGCTCATTCCTAGACCAAGTCCATAATGTGGGCAAACAATTCTTTGCACTTCCAATAGAAGAGAAGCAGAAATACTCGAGAACAGTTGATGACATTGAAGGGTATGGGAATGATTCAGTTCTTTCAGAGAACCAGACTCTTGATTGGACAGACCGGTTGTACCTTATAGTAAATCCAGAGGATCAGAGGAAGCTCAAGTTTTGGCCCAAAAATCCTGAAAGTTTTAGGTAAATTCAAAATGTTGCCTCAAAACTGGTTATAAGCATACAATTTTGTTATGTGTGGAACATGATTGTTTCGGAGTCAGTAGGTAGCATCAGGTTTGAGGGTGGCCCCTCGGGGTAGAAAGAGATCTTTTCTTTTTTGGGTATTTTTCCATGGTGTTTTCTTATCAATAATTGTCGTAGTACTTTATGTACATATATATTATGTCAGCTACCAAAAACAATGTCAACTTGAATCTGTCGTTCTGTCAAACTATATTGAATTCAACATTGGCGTGCGCCAGATATGTAGCTCGTGAACCCCATAACTCTGTCTGTTCTCTGTGTGCTATGTATGCTATCGATGTGTGTGACTGTAAATGTAGATGTTTGTATTTTTTTCTCAAGAGTGAGTTGGCAGAACAAGGAAGAAAATCAGATAGATACTTTCTTACATTCGATGAATTTTCTCATAAACCAGCTTTTGTCCTGTAAAAAATCACAGATTCTTCTGCTAACTTTCATACTTTCCAAACACAGTATTCTTGTACTTAAAAAAGCAAAAAAGAAAAAAAATATGTCCAGAAAACGTTACCCAACAGTATTTAAGATTTTCTTGCAACTTCCATGCATTCCAAAGTGTAAGCAAAATTTTCATACAGTTCTAAACTTCAGTTTCTATTGTTATTTTCTTTCTAATCCAACCGTCACTAAGGTAACTTTGTTGTCTCTAACCTTGCAGGGAAACTTTACATGAATATACAGTGAGACTAGGATTGTTGAATGAATTCATCCTCAAGGCCATGGCAAGGTCATTGAGTTTGGAGGAGAACAGCTTTCTGAACCAGTACGGCGACGGCGACCGAGCAACGATGATGGCAAGGTATAACCTGTATCCTCCATGTCCAAGGCCTGATCTCATTCTTGGTGTCAAACCACATGCAGATGGAACAGCCATTACCTTTCTTTTGCAAGACAAAGAAGTAGAAGGCCTCCAAGTCCTGAAAGATGATCAGTGGTTTAGAGTTCCCATTGTTCCCAATGCTCTTCTCGTTAATGTTGGAGATCAAGCAGAGGTAATTTAGACTGCCTTGGATAACATCACGTGCCTCTACTCCAAAATTAAAATGAAGTAAAATTTCAATTGTAATCAGAGTTTTAAAAAACAAAAAATAAATCAGAGTTAAATCCGCCAGCTAGTTCGAATATGAGATCTCAAGGGTTGACACCTCGAGATACCAAGTTTGAGTCATACCTATCCTAGTCCCCTTGCCCGATATATGTGGATCAGCAAGATGGCTGTGTGCATCCAGAGTCTAAATTGTTGCAACACATCCAAAGCGTGTTTGTTTAGGATATGGTTTTCCTTTAACAAAAAAAGTAATTTATAGTTAAAACTTGTAGCTTTTGCTTGATGGTGATTGCAGATAATGAGTAATGGAATGTTCAAGAGCCCACTGCACAGGGTTGTGACCAACTCAGAAAGAGAGAGAATGACTTTGGCTGTGTTTTGTACTCCAGGGTCAGATAAAGAGGTCCAACCAGTGGAGGAGCTCATCGGTGAAAATAGGCCAAGGTTGTACAAGAAGGTGAAAAATTATGTTGATATTTATTTTCAAAATTATCAGCAAGGAAAGAGACCCATTGAAGCTGCAAAGATATAATCTTGAGAAGAGTCATCCTTGGCAGTTTGTAATCGGCGATGATAGAGATAAATGTGTGGGCATACCAACTTAAATTTGGAGTTATTGTTCTTTTTTTCTTTTTCAAAATGCTCGAACAAAAATAAATTCTCAAAGCAGAAGGCAATTCATGTGGAACTTTTTTTGGCCTAGTAGAACTGTTGGAAGAAGCTGCTGTTTGTAGAAGATGACTTTGTAACAAGTTTTTAGCCAGCAGTGTGATCTTTGTTTACATAAACTGTAAAGTTGGAGTGGTCATAGGTTGGTTCGGGTCTCGAGCAGGGCCAGCTGCCAAAAACTACAATAACTTTTAAATTCTTCAATTTTCAATACCTTTTATGTAGTTTTTATTTTTATATCTATATTCTATCTATATTATATATGGAAAGCAAACAAATTAGGTGGAAGGTGGTTTGAAAATCTTCCTTCTTGATTTTCTTTTCTTTTCTTATCTTTTTTAAAATTTTAATTATTTAATTATTGTGAATGATTTTAACCATTTATAGTCTAATATGTATCTCACGTAACTTCCTCTCTATTCCACTAATTAATTATCACTCATTTACCTAGCAAAAAAACTACTCATTTGAATTTTTTTATAAAATCAGTCACTAATTTAAATTTTTTTAAAATATAGTTTTACCACTAACTTTTTATAACTGTTTTATAACCTTATTTTTTCTTAATTTTCTATCTAATTTTTTTAAATTGTATGATGACAATAGGAAACAAAAAAAAAAAAGGGAAGGACAAGGAGGAAAGAGAATGTGTGCAAATTTCTTGCATCGCATGAGGCTATAGTTTGTGTGTGTGTGTGTGTGTGTGTGTGTGTGTAACAAATAAGTTAGATGGGAGAAGGCTTGTGGAGTCTTTCATCTCTATTTCATAAATGACACTAAGGCTCCCTCCAA